GACGGGGGCGGAGATCACCTTCCGGACCGACAGGACAATCAGCCAGTCCGTCCCCGAAACGGTCCCTCTCCGGCTTCCGTTGCCGCCGGAAGCGGCTCTACCCGGAATTCGGAAGTCCCTACTTCGGAACAGGAGCTGTAACCTTTGTTGACGCTGTACTCGTGTTGCTGTGCGTGGATGAATAATCGCTTTTACAGATCCCTTCCCTTCCTAGAAAGTAAATTACTGCTGCTCTGGGGCCGTGAGTGGCCTCCATGCACTCACCCCATTTAACTTTCCCACGCTCAAGGGAAAGTTAAATGGGGAAATGTGGGAGAAATAAGTCCCTAAAACACATACTTCCAAAAAGGGAGAAATGCAAGGGAACGCAGTGATAGTAGTGATGAGGGAGGAGCGCTTTCTCTTTTAAAAGTCGCCTCCTGTGGGTGGCATTTGAAGTAGTAAAGCTAGAGTGGGTTCCAATCCCAGCTCATTCCCAGTTGTCTATTCAGGGACCTTATGTAAACTCCCTGTGCTGCAGTTGTGCAATATGGTAATAATACTGCAGTGGGTAGCCATCCATTCCCTCCTTAAAGGGATCTTTCTGACCCAGAGATCGAACCCGGGTCTCCTGCATTGCAGACAGATTCTTTACCGACTAAGCCACCATGGAAGCCCTGGTTATGGTAGTGGTTTTGTCCCTGAGTCGTGTCCAACTCTTGCAACCCCACGGACTGTAGCCTGCCAGGCTCCTCTGTAATAATAGTAGCTGCTTAATAGGATAGCAGTAGCAGAAAAGTTCATAAAGTAGCTGGTTCATAAGGGTTTGCTGTTGTTATTATTAGCGTCCTCCCAGAACATTTCCACATCTTGAGTGGACGTTGTCTTCTGACTTGTCACCTTGCCCTCAACCGCCACTATTCTCAGGAGTCTTAAGTATTGTTTTATTTCTGTCCTCAAGGTCTAACACTACCCTAGGCTAATGAAGAGTTTCTTACTGTTATCTGCTTTCTCCCTCCCTAGTGTGGACTCCTAACTCATGCCCCATCCCCTTTTTTCATGTTTGTCTCCCCAGTGTCACCACAAAGATGTGTAGGCAGTGTTGCTGAATGATTGGAAACCTCTGTCCAGGAAATCTTTTTAATGAACCTAACACTCTTGAAAACTACTGAAGTTTCAACTGAAACGGAAAACTACTGAAGCGTTTCAGTTTGCTATCATTTTACTTACTTTTCACACTCACTGAAGTGCAATATCTGTGAGAAATTCTTTGCTCTCTCTGCTTTGCCAAATAGTTAAGAAGCAGAAATTGATTGTAGACCATCAAAGTAATGGTCATACCATTCTCCCCATTAAAGTGAAAATAACCAATACATTTCTGATCATGAAGATACACATACTAATGTGGAAAATTCAAGCAATACACCAAAACATAGAAAGTGGAGGGAGCAAGGAAGGAAGTAAGGAAGGAAATAGAATGAGGGCAGTTAAATAGGCACCAACCTGAAAAAGTCAAAGCTGGAAACTTCTGAACAACAAAATAATGGAGTGTTAGATAATAATTCAAAATAACAAATGAGGGACAGGGAGAAATCCTCCTTATAGAATAATTACACATAATAAATGTTTATTAACTTCTACTCTGAGTTAAAGCTGAGTCCCCACCTCCAATCCCTTGGGTGTGGACTGGACTTAATGACTTGCTTCCAAAGAACAGAAATATGGAAAGGGAAAAATAGTACCTTCATAACGGAGAAATCTGGCAGACACCACCTTAACCAACCTATCAAGGAAAACACCAGTAATGTCATGTTGACATCAATAACCCCCTGAAATGATGTGATAAGGACATTACATCTCTGTAATATTTGCCCCCAAAACCCACAACCCTATTACAATCATGGGGGAAACATCAGACAACCCAAATTAAAGAGCATTCTACAAAATATCTGAGCAGAAAATTTCCAAGTTGTCAAGGTCATGAAAAACAACAAAAGACAAGGAAACTACCACAGATCTGAAGAATAAGGAAACGTGATGACTGAATACAATGTGGGATCCTGTATAGAGTCCAGGACCACAAAAGCACACTAGTGGAAAAACTTGTGAAATCTAAATAAAATCTGTAGTTTAGTTAATTGTAATACCCCAGTGTTAACTGCTTAATTCTCACAAACGTATCACAATAATATGTTAACATTAGAGGAAACTGAGTGAAGGACATTCAGGAACTACCTACTATCTTTGCAAATTAAAATTTATTTGAAAAAACAATTTTGAAAATTTTTTGGTTGTGACACTCAACTTGCGGGATCTTAGCTTCCAAGCCACGGATCAAACCCAATGCCCCTGCAGTGAAAGCTGAGTCCCAACCACTGGATCACCAGGGAGTTCCCTAAAAAGAATTCTTTATAAATTTTTCCCTGTTTGTAAAATAATTCAGTCACCTGCATTTATCAGATGCTACCCTCTCCTGGGCTTCCCTGGTGGCTCAATGGCAAAGAATCCACCTGCCAATGCAGCAGCCATGGGTTTGATCCCTGGGTTGGGAAGATCCCCTGGAGAAGGAAATGGCAACCCACTCCAGTATTCTTGCCTGGAAAATCCCATGAACAGAGGACCCTGGCAGGCTACAGTCCATGGGGTCACAAAAAGTTGGACACGACTTAGCGACTACACCCCTCTCCCAGCATCATGACATTTCATATTCAAGTTCTCTGACTAGACATCTAGCTCAAGTTCATGTTGATAATTTTAATGTCTCATGTTCTTTCCAATGTAAATTTGAGACTGTATTTGCTTTAAGAACAAGAGACCATGCAAAGGATAGCATTTCTTTTCTATTTAATACAATGCTGACATGTATGTTTGACAAATAAATATGCATGAACTTGGGTCAGGATAGTTTCTAAACAGTGATATAAGGTTCTTTTACCATAGACAGATTTAACTCAATTTTATAATAAAGATCTTTGGTTGTAAGACTTGTTTGGAGCAGGATACCTAGTCATCACACCACAAGTAGACTGTAATTAGGGCTTCCCCGCTGGTTCAGACAGTAAAGAATCTGTCTGCAATGCAGAAGACCTGGGTTCGATTCCCTGGAGAAGGGTATTGCAATCTATCCCAGTATTCTTGCCTGGAAAAATCTCATGAACAGAGGAGCCTGGCGGGCTACAGCCCATGGGGTTGCCAAGAGTCAGACATCACTGAGTGACTAAGCACAGCACACAGCACAGACTATAATTAAGAGAACATTAGTGTAGACCAGGAGAGATGATAGTAGTTTAGGTTAGAGTGATGGAAGTGGTTAGAGTAGGATTTAAGAAACTGAATTATGATGGACTGTCGGTGGGGTGGGGGGAGGGCTTCACACCTTGCCTAACTGATGGATGGCAGTTCATTTCTAAAGAGATTTCCAGGTCAGAACACCCTCCTTGCCTAGACAATGTGCTGGATGGCATTATCATTTCCTCTTTGAGTTTCTCTTTTGTAGCTGTCATGCAGACCTTATTCTTGGTTAATTGTTTCCTTACTTTTGTACATGACTCATATTTCTTTTGGAGAAGGCAATGGCACCCCACTCCAGTACTCTTGCCTAGAAAATCCTATGGATGGAGGAGCCTGGAAGGCTGCGGTCCATGGGGTTGCTGAGGGTCAGACTCGACTGAGCGACTTCACTTACACATTGGAGAAGGAAATGGCAACCCACTCCAGTGTTCTTGCCTGGAGAATCCCAGGGACGGGGGAGCCTGGTGGGCTACCGAATATGGGGTCGCAAAGAGTTGGATATGACTGAAGTGACTTGGCAGCAGCAACAGCATATTTTTTTTAAAAAACTTTATTTTGTATTGGGGTATAGCCGATTAACAAACAATGTTATGATAATTTCAGGCAAAGGTAAAGGGACTCAGACATACATATACATGTACCCATTATCACCCAAACTCCCCTCACCTAGGCTGCCACACAACACCCAGCAGAGTTCCCTGTGCTATACAGTAGGTCCTTATTGGTTATCCATTTTAAACACAGCAGTGTGTACATGTCCATTCCAAACTCCCCGACTGGGGCAACAGTTTTGGTAACAATTGGAAGCTTAATCTAAACTAAATGAAACTCTAGTGGAATTTCAGGCCTCATTCAAGGTGGAGAGTGAGGGTTTTGCAGGATAGTGGAAAACACCCCACCAAGAGGCAGCAAAAAATGCCTCTGGAAAAGGTAGTCAATAGGGTAGAGATTGTGGCCCTTTTCTCCTTGTTGGTCCACAACCTCGTGAAGTTCCCCAGGTGAAACCGCGCGCGCGCGCGCACACCCAGAGACCCCACCTCCCAACCCAGAAGGGCAAGGAAAGACTGAAGAGGCAGGGCATTCCTCATTGGTAGGTGGCAGTTTTAAAAATTAATAATCAAAGGAACTTACACTGGTGGTTTGTCTTGGGCACCCACTTGCCGGCATCTTAAGAATTTATATAGAGACCTTATGGGGAGAGGGGGGGCTCCCTTACCTAAAAAATCAAGGTTTCAATGACACATTACTCTCTCAGGCTGCATCCTTCAAGCAGCACCTGGCTTAGGAACAGTGGATAGAATGTACATTCCAAGGGCAGAAGGGATAAGGAGACTCTGCCTCAGTCTGCTTCCTGGGTAAACCCGAGACCACATACAATGAATCACTCCCTCAACATTCCTTAAGTTGAGTTGCTAGGTTTAAATCTATTTAAATGGAAGACATGCTGGATCTAGGAAACCTGTGGCAGGATAGGAAAGGGCTGTGAGAATGCAGGCGCCTCCCACCCATGGGACGCGGGTTAAGGACACTGCATGTCTGGGGAAGGATGTCCTTGAGGACTCGAACGAACCTCAGGAACAAACGGTGGATGTCGAGCGAACAAGGTCCGACGCCACCTCCGGCAAACGCCGGCTCTGGACTTCCGGCACCGCCCCTGTCCCTCTAGGAACTTCCGTCTCAGCCTGCAGTGGGCGGCCCGCGGGAAGCCACGCCCCGTCCCTCGACCGGCTCTGTAGCTGCCGCCACGAGGACAGCATGGCAGGCTCTGAGTTGCGGGCGGCGCTGGAGCAGCGGCTCGCCGCCCTGGCCATTCGCACAGAGGTCGTGGAGCACCCGGAGGTGAGACGCTCCCGCTAGTACTACCCCGGGAGGGAGTGGGCTCTACTGCAGCGTCTGCGAGGGGAAGCCACTGAAAGTAGACTTCCCGGGGTGGTGGTGGGGGGGTCACTGTACCACAGAAAAAGTCCGTTCTAAGGCATTTCCCGGAATCCAGAGTAGAGAGGGATCTGACTGCACCACCGAGTGCATCTCCTCTTGGGACTCTTGCTGTTATTGTGAAAAAACCTGTTTTCCTTTTGGAGTGATTTTTTTTTTTTTTTTAGTTTTGGGAACTAGCGTAACATATTGAGAACTTGTGCATCTCAAACTGGCCTGGGTATGTAAGTTGCCAAGCAGTAAAACGTTTCTGCAGAGGCTATGATGCATGCGGGACACCAAGGTTAGAGTTTGGTATTTTTTAACATGATTCAGTTGATTGATGGAAAGATTTTTTGTTTTTGCAAGTATCTCACCATTATATATAAGCCAGTATATAATCTGGGTGTTGCGAGGACATAGTTTTTGCCTAACGCTTGAGTAACAGCTCGTGATAACTAGCTCGATACAGTGATAATCTTCAAAGGGTAGAGAAATTCATCAAAACTAGTATTTTCTTTGACCCTTTTGCCTCCCTTATAGTTGATACTCTCCCCCTTTTTACTGGGCATATTGCCAGCTTTTCTGTTCTTTTTATATTAGCCCAGGCTCTCATTCCCTGCCTTCACTCCCTCTGTAGTTACGTTTTATAGAGTGAGGGTTGTATTATAGTCTGGATGGAATGCCAAGGAATAGGATTCTGGGCTGCTATACACTTTTTTCCCCCATTTTTATTTGAGTATAATTGATTTACAGTGTTGTGAGGGCTGCTATAAACGCGACAAAAAGTCTAAAGGAAAGACAAAAATAGCACTTTAGAAATGTGAAGGCTTAGCCGGCATATCGGAATGGAGAACTGGCCCAAGAGAAACTACTTGAGGTCCTGAGATATAATTATTTGATAACAGGGTGGGAATGGGTTACTACCAGTGAAATCCAGGGTACCAAGTACTCCCTAACCTCACAGTTTAGACCCAGCAAGCAACGTATATATAACTGTATGTTTGCAGTGTACATGCATGTTATTTTTAAACTTCTCATGTGGTATTTTACAGGTGTTTACAGTTGAAGAAATGATGCCTCATATCCAGCATTTGAAAGGCGCACACAGTAAGAACTTATTTCTTAAGGACAAAAAGAAAAAAGGCTATTGGCTGGTGACAGTTCTTCATGATAGACAAATTAATTTAAATGATCTCGCCAAGCAGTTAGGTGTCGGGAGTGGAAACCTGCGGTTTGCTGATGAAGCAGCCATGCTAGAAAAACTGAAAGTTGGCCAAGGTTGTGCCACACCATTGGCACTCTTCTGTGATGATGGAGATGTGAAGTTTGTCCTGGATTCTGCCTTTTTGGAAGGTGGATATGAAAAGGTGTACTTTCATCCAATGACCAATGCTGCAACCGTGGGACTGAGCCCTGAAGACTTTCTCACATTTGTGAAGAACACAGGACATGATCCCATAATACTAAATTTTGATAAAAACTAATAGGGCTTAAGTTCAGAGTATTTATTTCTGAAAGCTGTTTTTCTTACTTGCAATTATAAAAAGCATTAAAAATGGGAAGATGTATCTAGCACTCAGTTTGGTGACCTGAACTATTTGAGAAAGACTATTTCATCTTAAAGTTTTTTTTTTTTTTTTTTTAAGATCTATTGAGGTAGCTTTAGTCAGGTCAGAGGTTCCACCCTCCCCATCCCCATGATGATTACTTGTTACAAGAATGCCTTCATTAACATCAGGAGTTCCCTGGTTGCCTTCTGGTTAGGAATCAGGCTTTCACTGCCTGGCCCAGGTTCAGTGCCTGGTCACGGGAACTGAGATGCCTGCACGCTGCAGGGTGGCCAAAAAAGAATTCACATCAAAACTAAGATTATTTATCTAAGATTAACTGTCTTACATCTTATTTATTATACTTGCAAGTTTCTAAAATAGCATATGTAAAATTATACATATGATAGTGTACATATGGGGGAAAAATAATATGGGAAGACATTAAATTGTAAATAGTGGTTATCCCGAGGGAATGAGGATTAAGGAATAAGAATTTCCAGCAGTATAATTAAACAAGGGGGCAAGGGAAAACCTTTCTGTTACTGTTTGTTTTTAAACCAATGCTTTTTTCCCCCCCAGTGAAAAATAAGCTAATTTTTAAAATAAAATTCTATCTTTGGAATATCTTAATCTAGAAAAACCCTCAAAGTAGGGGTAGAAAATATGCCATAATCATTATACTAATGAAATTACATTTTAAAACTCAGGAGCAGAACATACAGAGGCCATTAAGAAGGATTTGTTTAGTCTTTGTTCAGAGGTTAGAAATTTGAACATGCTTGAACAAGTTTCTTCTGTCTTTTACGCTGTATTAAATTTACTTATTTTTCAACTATGCATCTAAAAAGTAAGATAAATTTTATACACATATAAACAAAAATGTGTAAGAACCCAGGATTAGGTATTGTCAGTTGCCATAGAGAAGCTAGTTCAAAGACAGGAAAATTAATATACTTTTTCACTGCTCTTAAACTCAAATAAGACCCTAATTGAGGGTCTGAGTAGACTACAAAACAGCCTAGAGGACTTAGGAAAATTATCATTTCCTCTAGTACAATCGGGTATTTGAGAGAGAAGCGTTTTTTTCCTAAGGTTGAACACGCAATAATTTCTTCTGATAGAGAAATTGTATTTAATTTGTACCAATCTGCATTACTGAAAGGCAAAGCTAAAAACTTGTCATTTTTCAATATATGTGGTTAGAGACTACAAGTCTACTGATGGCAGAATTTTTATAAAATATAGATGAGTAAGTTAGGTGAGTTAGTAAGAAATATCTTCCATCAATGATAACATTCTGAGATGCTACACTGGTTTTTGCCTACTTGGTACTATGTCTCTAAGAAAGGAAATTTAGGTTGCTTTGAATATAAAATGAAGGTTTACTGAATAGAATCAAAGACACTGAGGACATCAGGAAACTGGTCTAACTGTCCTCACCTTAGAGTGAAAATAGGCCCAGAAAGACTGACCTGCCCAATGACACAAGGCAAGTTGCCATCTCTTAACATTATGCCTCCCAAAGTCTATGTGAAAATGAAAAGAGACTGATGTGTATAATCTATTTTATTGTAATGACACTTCTGGGATTGACAAAACTAATAGACTCTTCTCTTTCTCCCAAAACCTCTAATACTCATCCCAAAGTGATTAGAACAGAGATAAACAAGATTATGTCTGAAAACTGGTTTTCTAGGGCAGAGAAAGGAAAGAATAATACTTGGTTAAATTATATGTTATGATTGCTAACCACTTATTATAAAAATCATAACAGTTTGACAAGTGAATGTTAAACCAACTTAATTTTTTTAGGAGAAATAAAAGTTAAAAACTAAAATGAAAAATGTTTTTGAAAAAAGATCAGCCAAATGATGGTGTCTTTTTTGGTATGAACTGGATTTTTTGTTATCAACTGTGGCTTTAATATAGCCAAGTAACAAACATTTTGCCATTTAACTCCAGATTTCTCAGTAGCATTAATTTAAAGGAAATGTTACAGCTCTTGTATTATTTGATTTGGTATTTAATAACAGTTATAAGTACAATGGCAAACATTGAAAGAGAGAACCCTTAGAAAAGAAAGACAATTTAAAATCAGGTTTTGTTAAAGGGTGTTATAAGTGCAACTTTATCATAAGCATTCCTTTTAAGGCATTTTCACTGTTGTCCAAATAACTTGTACATCAAGGTTTATATTATAAAATGGGCTCCGTCTGTATTATTCATTCAAGGCTTAAGAAAAAAAACATATCTCAGGACTAAGAGTAGCAGAAAAAAAAACACAAAACTTCACTTTTCTCATAAAAAGTAACTTAAAGTACAAAAGTTATTTAGCATACATTATTACTCCTCATTGTAATTCCAGATTTGGTACAATATCTTTTTCACTTCCTGACATAAACTGTTAAGACAGTACAGGCTGTAATACTTCATTTGTGAGGTGGCTGCAATTCTGTAATATGCACAGTGATTTTTAAATAGGCTCTTACCATGCCTTGCATGAAAGGTGCTACATACAAACCTGTCCCGTGAACTCTTTGGTAACCACCAGTTCAAAAACTTGGACCGAACATTTCCACATTGCCAGATCTGAAGCACTTAATCGGAGCTCTGGGCCGAAGCTATTACCCTGTATATAAATTCTTTAGTTTCCAAGGGGGAGTAGAGCCGGATAATTAAAATCATGTCAGGCGCCAGTCAGGAAAGTGGCCCCAGCTATTGTACTTTCTAGTTGGTTACGCAGTTTTGTTTGGCAGAAGTAGTTTATCTAAGGGAAAAGCATGACTTCCTACTAAGTTTGCTTCTGATGCTACCTTTTGGAAATGGTAAAATACTCATGTGGTTATCTAGTCCTTTCTTGAAATGGTATGAAAAAGGTGATGAATGTGATTTGAGAATATGCCTACTTTTTGCAGTCTCTTTCTCTTGGTTGTCTTGCTGCATTTCCTCAGAGTCAGCCCTTTACAGGCTACCCTTAAGCATTTTCTAGTTGAAGCAATAATGTGTTGCTTCAGTCAGCAGGGTCTCTGTTTTAGGATATTAGTGTCCTGGAGAGATCAAGCTGTGGTATCACACACCCTAGCTGGACTACCTCCTACTCATTAAATTTCAACTTGAAGCAAATGTCCTGGGATGTGTCCTAGTTGTGCAAATTAGATGCTAGTTAATATAAATCTAAGTTACCCACTTATTGTATTTAGCTAAAACATAATTTCTATATTTACTCTCAATTTATCCACCTAAAAATGAATTTACAGTTTTTACATGCAGACGTCTCTAGACTGCCATGATGCCCATTATCAATCTGATACTTCAATCTAGGAAATCATGATGGAGACATGTTTCACAGTCTAGAGAATAGGTTTTAAATATGTCTGTTGTGCAATATTTGTATCTTAGTAAGAATCCTTTGTATTTATATTTACATAGCACCTTTCATCCAAGATTTTAAAAGTGATTTAACTTTACAGCATTATTTGGTGGCAAAACCTAACTTCCATTTCAGTTTCTTTCCAACTATACATGGCCGTATTTCTTTTCATTAATGGTCTTTCTGAAAGTAGACTATGAACACAACACTCTTACTGGCCTATCAAAAAGAGAGGGGAAAAAAAGAGAAGGGCATGAGGAAGGAGGGAGGGAGAGAGACACATTTCTCATGGCTACTAGGTTAGTGATGAAACACACAGTTCATAAACCACACACTATGGAATTATTCCAAAAAGATTTTTAGAGCTGGTAGTGAGAGCCTAAGAAGTACATTGTTAAAATTAAAAAGTCAGTATCTTTCTCATTTCAGACCTTTAAGATTATTCATATATTTATGTTAAATAATGAATTTGCATTAATATGTATCAATGCAATTTTTGATTTCATAAGAAAATAAAACTGTGATAGAAAATTGGAACTACAAAAAAATTGATGTTTCCCTGGGTTAACTAAATTTACTTTTTTGTGCTTCTTTCAAATGTAAAACAAATGCATACAAATATTTCAAAAGTACTGATAACAGTTACCAACTTTAATGTAGTCTTATAAAGGACAAAACCAAAAATTCTTATTAATAAGTGATAACCTTAATAATAAATGAGTTCCTGGCAAAATGCGGATCATAGTAAATTATTTACATTATTTTTGCCATAAGAAAACTTCTTAAGCAACAGTCAGCTCTCAAGTTAAAAAAAACATACATACATAACCCAACACTAAAGAAGGGAAATGAGTTCAAACACAATAGCTTTATCTTGGGAATGTCTTTTTCTAGAAAACCACCTTACTAAAAAAAACATTTCAGAAAAACACATTCTAATTACCTTGGATCCATGTGTGAATGAATTACTTAGTGTTCCTTAGCAGGGAATATGGAAATATTAATATCACTGTAGATTTTTTTTATAACTCCTATCATGGATTTTTCAGTTATTTCATAAACTGAGTTTCTTTTGCAGTGCATCAAAATAATTGGCTTAAAAATAAGAGAATACCAACACATGCAGTCTGCTAACCAAATAAGGCTCTGACATGCCTAAACAATGTTCTCTGTATCTTGATATATAGTACATTCCACAGCATACTACAGCATTTAATTTAGGTTTACACAACTAAATATAAGTGGCTAGACTTAGGCTAATACTTAGCAGAAGCATTAAGCAAACATGGATAAATTCATAATCAAATGATGAAAGAAGTATATTGTTCTTGGAGTACTTCTTGAACCCTTAAAACACTTGGTCCTTAGCGAGAGAACATGCTTTATTCAGTAGATCTTAACAGTACAATGTACATAATAAGTCACAAAAACCTTCTAAAAATTTTGGCAGTTGACTCCAGTAGTGCTCCTTGATTCAAGGAAGGAATGAAGGTTTGTATTTCTTTCCTGCTCTAGTCACGAAGGATTGTTAAGTCTCCTTAAAGATTTTAAAAAATGATTCCTATAGTTGGGTGTCTTGTTACTTCAGAAATAAAGGCTTCACACTGAGAAACTGAAGGACACTTTTCTCTCTGTATTTAGTTGGAAAGTAGAAAGAAAGAAAATATAAGAAAAGTTTGAAGATAAGAGATATAAAATACAGAGCAACCACTAAAAGAACAGCATGCACCAGGTACTTTTACAGGGATAAGAGTGACAGAGAGTCAGAATTTGTCTAAGCAGCTCTTCGTAGAAAAGACATTTAATTTATTCTCCTCAATTACCAAGAACATTGCACAGAAGTTATATTCCTACCAGAAAGATTTTAAACTGAAAAAGTAATTTCTAAAACATTATTCATTAGTAAAATCAAATTTAAATTGAGGGGAAAAAATATTTTTAAGGATTGTTTTCCTGCACTAAGGGGCTTCCCAGGTAGCTCAAATGGTAAAGAATCTGCCTGCAATGCGGGAGACCCGGGTTTGATCCCTATGTTGGGACGATCCCCTGGAGAAGGGCATGGCAACCCACTCCAGTATTCTTGCGTGGAAAATTCCATGGACAGAGGAGCCTGGTGGGCTACAGTCCATGGGGTCGCAAAGAGTCGGACACGACTGAGCGTGCACTGACGGCCAAAAGCTTTGAGGAATCAGGTGATTTTGACTTACTAATCAGACAGACAGAAATCATGAATAAAGCAAGCAGTATTTACATCTGTTAATGCAATGTGCACTTGTTCTTATAATTAATGCAGTTAGTGTGTATAAATGAGATTAATCTCATTTACATTTTAAGCAAGAAACTCACCACTTGGCCCACATGTCATGTAGTGGGGTTATAGAATTAGGAGCTTTGTTGCTCCCTAGACCTGCTTTTTGAATTTCTGTTTTCTTGTACTTTGTCCACATCTGCAGGAGAAAAGCATTTCATGTTATTTAATGAAAAGCTAAACATAATACAATTCATGAAGATAAGAAACTATAGAGCTCTCACTGTGTTGGGCAAAGAGAAGGAATCTAACTCTGGAAATGTTATTAATCTGATAGACATCTCTACTTAAAGACTGATTTACATGTTTTAAAAGCTATAAATAATAATGTCCTCTTGGTGTCTGATAGGTTTATTATGTTTATTTACTATATGGTCACATATAGTTTTAAAATAAAAAATAATCTTGCATGCAGCAGCAGAAACATCCACAATGAAATATTTGTATTGTTTACTAAGAAAACCAGGCCTTGAGGCTTACTTCGTAGGAAAATATATCTGCTTACACTGTTACAGTTAAAACTACTTTGGTCACAGGGGACCGAAAGCCTAACATGAATTTACCACAAATAATAAAGGTATCATTTCTAGAAACCTAAGCCAGGAATATGAAAGCTATTCAATTTCATCTAAAATTAGAGTACTAATACAGGCATACCTCGGAGATAATTGCAGGTTTGGTTCCAGACCACTATATTAAAGTGAATTTTGCAATAAAGCGAGTCACATGAATTTTTAGTTTCCCAATGCATGTAAATAACAATGTACATATCTTAATTAAAAAATACTTTATTGCTAAAAAGAGCTATCCATTATCTGAGGCTTTAGCAAGTCATACTTTTTTTTTGCAATAGTAACATCAAAGATCATGGATCACTGATCACAACAAATATTAACAGTGATGAGAAAGTTAGAAATACTCTGAGAACTCCCAAAATGTGACAGACATGAAGTGAGCAAATGCTGTTGGAATAATGGCACTGATAGGCTTGTCTGACAGAGAATTGCCAGAAACCTTCAGTCTGTTGGGAAAAAACCCCACAGTATTTGTGAAGTACAAGAAAGCACAATAAAACGAGGTATGCCTGTAATCCTCTGTGAAGTTGTAGAATATTTATGGAGATGTCTCAAAAAAAGCACAGTTATTCAACTAAGTCAGAGATGCTTCACTTTGATCAGAAAATAATTGTTTTTTTAAAATTGGGGCATCTTGTAAGATTTCATTTATAGAAGGTATTACGTTGATTTTTTTTTAAGAGTTTGGGAAACACTAGCTCTGTACGATTTCTAAGGCTCTTATCACTGCTAAAAATGTGATTTCAAGTGCTATCAAGAAACACTGGTAAAATAGTTTTAAGGGAATTTTATGACCTTACAGCCGGTGACAGTTTCTGGAGGAAATATCACCTAAATTCTCTGACAGTCCTCAAGACACATGGACATGGTATGTATCTTTCTGTCTTACATGCACAATGTGTACGTTCTTTTGGAAAACATGCAGTGTATGGTACTATAGTCATCTGGGTTAGAAATGCTTCTTTCCTGTAAGTCTAACATTGTAAAAATAACAGTGTTTACAACATTGTAAAAATAACAGTGTTTACCATATAGTAGCATATGATTTCTCAATGTATTTTAATAAATAAATTTAATCTTAAACTACAGGTTATGAAGAAAGAAAAGGGACACCAAAAACATTTAGGACTAATTGTGAAATAAGTGACAAATGGATTGATGTTTTCATGTAGATAAAATATATTAAGTGGTACTAAAAATAAGAAAATTTCTGATTGTTTGATGACCTACACTGGAAGCATTTTTTTTTTTTTAAGTAAAAGGCAGAAGATTTATTCGATCTGAAGTGAAACCAACACATTGGGAGCATTTTTAGTAAGAGCTGGCTATGAGAAAAGAAGTATGGTCAAAGATATAAACAGAAGGGGCCTAGGCTTGAAATGATCTTGTGTAAGTAAAAGAGAATAGGGTAATTTACAAAGGAATACAAATTTCGTTCTTTTTGTTTCCTTTTTTTGTTTTTTTTTAAATTTTTGCCCGTGCTGTGTGGCTTGCAGGATCTTAGTTCTGTGACCAGGGATCGAACACAGGCCCTCAGCAGCGAAACTGCAGAGTCCTAACCACTGGACTGCCAGTGAATTCCCAGGTCACACATTTCACTAAGCAAAGATTCTTTAGAAATTTTGTTTTCTCTGGCCCAATGAATAACAATAATAATTTACTATAACAACACATGTAAAATAATAACTTCCTCCTTGTTTATCAAGTTACATTTCAAATCATTTCTTCTAGATGCCAGGCTGCATTGTGATATTTAGGCTGAATCAAAACAGCAAAAACATTTCAGAGATAGAGCTAAGGTATACTTGTCCAGGAGTGAGTGAGTCAGGGTCATGGGTTTCCTTGGGGCTTGCTTTCTTGTTGTTTTATTCTGGAAGTTAGAAACTCAATTTTGGCTGATTCTGTTTTAAAATGCTATGACCACAGGATGATAATTTTAAAGTTTATGACATGAATCAGAGTTAGCAAATATTTTCTCTCTCTTTGATGATTATCTTTTAGCTAAGAGGTTCCAATTATTCTTAGTTTTAAAATTTGTTCTACTAGAAACATGTCTGTTTGTTTATATGGTTATAAACACTAATTTTACATTTTATTTTAGCACAATACTCATTTTAGAAAATTATGTTTTTAGGACATATGTAACTTAGCAATAAATTATAGAATTATTTAAGTAACAATCTTCACCATTCAGTAAACTTGCTACCCTTTTAAAAGAGAAGTAAAAATGCAAATTTCCCACACACTGAGTATGATTTGCTTTATTTCTCTTTGATTCTACATTTTAAAAAACCCTGAAAAAACTACTGTGTTAACTGATTCCAAGTAAAAAAAGTCATCCTGAAAGAAAGATAGTACTTGAACTCTTATGTTTGTCAAGTGAAGAAAAGTGCAGGGAAGAAACAGAATAGAAGTGCTCCTAGTCACTGTATAAGTCACATTAAAATCAAAGGTTTTTTTTTAATTACACTAAATTTATGAGTATTACAGCATTTTAAATCTGAACAATTTTATAAATATGGGCAGTAGTTAATATTTACTATGTAAGGTGTTGACTTATAAACTATTTGAAAATAAAACAGCAGGGCAGAAGGCAAAATTAAATGGCAAAAGAAAATGACATCTTTTTAACATATTTTCCTTACTAATACTGTACATGTGCAATATGAAGTGCACATTTTGGGGAAAAAAAGGAAAGGACAAGAGGTAGGGAGAGAGGGAAAGGGGAGCAAAAGGGACAATGAGCATTCTTTTTTGGAATCAACAAATATGACTTGGAAATGCCTTCTTAGTAATTATAGCATGCAACCATTTTAACATGCTTCCAGGTATCAAAGTAACAATCTCTTATATAAAATGTGAAAGAGGAGAATGTATTGTTAAGGTTCTTGAAGTCATGCAGAAAATGTACAATGCAGTTAATAACAGTTCATGCAGGCTTTGCTGTTGTTACATAATCATGTTTATATACATGCCACAATGTACACTTGAACACTATGCCACAACTTAAAAATAAAAATATAAACCTAGTCAAATGATTCTTTTCAATAGCTCTTCAAATCAGATTAGAGAAGCATAGTGTGTATCAAATGACATCAGTATTATATTGTGCAGTTTTGATCATACACAACCATATTCATACCAAACCGTTTGATTATCCTCAGAAACCAACAATGCAGCTTCTGTGTCATCAGGATAGAGGCATGCAGGAGTGGTGAGATTATTATCTACAGAGGACTGTGGATTAATGCTACTGTGGCTCTGACGACCAGAAAACTGCTCATTATCTTTCTGAGCAGTTTTTTCCAAAGAAGCAGAAGCCTGGTCAGTTACTCTGGTGACTGGTCTGGGAGGTAACCCACTTATGTTACTAACTAATTCTGTATTCAGGGATAAAAATGGCTGAGCTAGATGAGCCACAGTAAAGGACTCTAAGCTATCTGTAGCTGATCTTCCAAATGCATCATTAGACATATGAATCATGGCAAAAGTTTGATTTAGAAAATGTGACCTTTCAGTTCTTGAGTTTCTGGCCTGGGTATGTGGAGACTGGGGCTTGTCTGTAGCTAAGTCATTTTGTGCTTGAGAACCTAGAGCAGATGTTGGACTATTATGAAGTGTATGAGAGGACCACTGGTGTAAACAGTACTCACTAGATGTCGCAGGGACGCTGCTATCAGCAGTAGCTGGTGGTGAATCAACTGACATAGGTAGTCTACTGTCCTTGGTCAAAAAATCATGGATGCTTGTCCTTCGAGTAGTTCCTTCGGCAGTAGAGATAACACTGCTTGCACGAGGTAAAGTGGCATAGGGATTACTATCTTTTGATTGTCGTGACAGAGAAGTTTCTTTTATTAATTTTATCTTTCCTTGAGTGCCTCGTGTAGGCTTTCCTGAAGAACTCATGAAACAGGTATCTTCAGCCTTTTGAGGACCAGGTCTCACAAACTGTTCAGTTTTAGTTGTCCGTCTATCATGGAAGTCTCCTGGAGTTTTTCCACTTACTGACCTGGCCAGACCACAGCTAACTGGTTTGTTTTTTCCCAAAAAGTCAGAAGAGACCGACAAACTTTTCATTACTTCATCTAAAAGATTCTCTTGACTTGAGGGCTTTAGCTGTTAAAAAAAAAAAAAAAAATTCAAAGCAGATTAGTGAATACAGCCATACTTTTGCTTTCCTGATAATGGTAGACTATAAAAAATTGCTAATGTCTCTAAACACTCCTTAACTTAGAAAAGAAAAGGCTCTAAAGTTCAACCATAGAAATTTAACTTATAGTGTCCATCTAAGTTAAGGTAACCATAGATAAAACCAACCTGCATTGAGGTAAGCTTGTTGCTTTCTTCCAAAAACTGTTGTAGAGTAACAACTTCACTTCCAGGGGAACCAGTTTTGATCTTGTGATGTGCCCGACTCTCTAGTGTTCTGTGCTGGAGCACTGGACTTGATCTGGTCTGTCTTTTCAAGTACTGGATTGGACTGCTACCACTGCTGGACCACGCCTCATGCTCATGAAGCAGGCTAAATTCTCCACTGCTGTGGCTTTGTGGCCTGCTCTGGATATTAACTGCACCTGCTTTAGGAGTAAATGGTGTGTTAAAAGTTCAATAATAGACAGAAGATTAACACTATGTAAGTACTGACAATTTATTGACTGGATTCTTATGAATAGCCAAACTGACTTTCAAAGCTTTATTCAGAAATACTTAGTAAATAAACCATGTTAATCTTTCATCAGTCTAATAACTGTCTACCATAGCATGCTTCCTTATTTGTCAGTATGACAAATACTGTAAGCTCCAAAGGGCAAACACTTGCCTTCACCATCAGACCCAGAACCTCAACATATACATCAGGCACTCAATACATTTGATGAGTAAATGAATGAATAAACAAGGAAATAATACATTATTAAAAACTCAGGTTAAAAAACTATAAAATACCTTATAATTAAAAAAAAAAAATTTGTTGTTGTTTTAGTCACGAAGTCATGTCTGACTCTTTTGTGACCCCATGGACTGTAGCCCATCAGGTTCCTCTCTCCATGGGGTTTCCCAGGCAATAATTCTGAAGTGGGCTGCCATTTCCTTCTCTAGGGGATCTTCCTGACCCTTAGATCTCCTGTATTGGCAGGCGGATTCTTTACCACTGAGCCACCAGGGAAGCCCAAAATATGATTATATGAATTTTAAATTGAGAATGTTAAAACCAAACACTCCAATAATTCTAATTCTTTGACTTTCTATGAAGTCTATGTTCCTTATTTGAAGGCTTCTCTGTTCATCCTAAACAAATAACCTTAAAGAGTGTGATAACTTAGAGGGATGCATGAGACAAGTGCTCAGGGCTGGTGCACTGGGAAGACCCAGAGGGATGGGATGGGGAGGGAGGCGGGAGGGGGGATCGGGATGGGGAACACATGTAAATCCATGGCTGATTCATGTCAATGTATGGCAAAAACCACTACAATACTGTAAAGTAATTAGCCTCCAACTAATAAAAATAAATGGAAAAAAAAGTCAAAAGGAAATTATTTTGATTAAATACTGATGTAAAAAAAAAAAGGGTGTGATAACCTAGAGGGGTGGAAGGTGGAAGGTGGAAGGGAGGTTCAAGAGGAAGGGAACATATGTCTGTCTAGGGCTGATTCATGCTGATGTATGGCAGAAACCAACACAACACTGTAAAGCAATTACCCTCCAATTAACAATAAATAAAAAATAAGTAAAAGAAATAATCTTAAGAAATTTTTAAAAAATTTACATAGCAAGCATCTAAGGAAAGTCAAATGGAGACATGATATAATTAACTTAGAAAATTCCAGTAAAAATCAAGTATGTAGTATCTCATTCTTTATTTAATGTCTGAACAATCTGATTCTCCCTGCTTTCAACTGTCAGTATGATAGCTTTTAAAAGACTCAGTTGAGGCTGAACAATGATAAAGAATGCAAATTACTAGATCTGGAAAAAAGCTCCCCAAATTTTATGCTATTCCTTAAGAGTGCTTATTCATTCTAATCATCGCAAACTGTGTAGAAGCATCAAAATGGAAAATGCAACTTTCCATGGTTTCCTAATCACAGAGAATAAAGTGGGTCATGAAAGATTTTGGCTCAAACTATGTAACATTTTGTAGGAAAAAGATTTTCTTAAAATTTCAAATCAGAAAAGGATTCTTCACACTTCAGGTAATATTTTTCTAAAGGATATAAGAACATGATTATAAACATGAAAAAACAATCACTCGAAATCAGATTTTTCAGATCAGTGCAACAAATACTAAAATTATAACCGAGACAAAATTATTCTATAATACAGAAAAGCAGGAGAACAAATGCACTCATTATAATTTAACAATTCTGTTCTGTAGAAAATAACTACTTTAACAAACTTTTATAATCTATTAAATAATTCCAGAATTTGAGTAGGCAGTGTACCTTTAAGAAAAAAGGTATCAGTTGATACTTCCAGACATTCACATAAAATTTCAGCTTAGAATCCACATTAATAAACTGAGGAAAAAGGTATCTTGAACTAATTCTTTATATAGATATATGCATCCATTTGGCACTTGTTACACAAACACAACTGTCTTCTCAAATTAAAAAAATATATTCCTCATTTCGTGGATAAACAAAGCTAGAAGTATTTCTAAAACACTTTCTATGAGTTCAGTGTACATGTATCATGAGAAAATTAAGGCCAACCATTTTCATGACAAGGACAGAATGTAAGAAAATAAGAACTTACAGATACTTTCGAAATAGAAAGATAACAAGAAAAAGATTTTACCTGTGAAGATGAAAAATGGAAACTAAAATAACTGCTCCTGTTTTTACATTTGTACACATTGAAATACATTTGTATTACAATGTGAAAAGCATAAAATATTCCAAGGAACTATGTTCCAAACACAGATGATTTGGATTTCATTTTACCCCAGAAACTTAATTTCCCATTTTTTCACAAATCTGGAAATGGATGGAGCATATTAGTAAATTTACCTACAGCATACCTTTGACTTCATGGAGTGAAGCATTATTATTGCTATTGCTAGTGGATGTTCTGCCACTATCAAGGCTGGCTGGTCTCGAAGCTAAATGAAAAAATCAGGAGACAGTGATAAAACTTGCAGCTGAAGACACTGAACTTTACATTCTGATTACAGAATGCTTTGAGGAAGCAATCATGCATACTTTCACAGACTGAGCATGCCCACAGAGAGTTGAGTCTTATAGATTAGCAAGCAAAGGCATTTCCAGATTGTTCAGTTAAACAATTGAAAACAGGACACTTCTGAGACAACAGCTGAGATTCAAACAAAAGAAGATAAAGTGAATAATCAGATTTGGAAATGGATTTCTAGATGGATACCAGGACTGTTGTAGTTGAACAGAATGACATGTGCCCAAAAGAAAAAAAAAAAAAGCTAGTGATTAGGTCACAAAAGATCAGACAAGGAACCTTGCACATTGCAGAGATGCCACGAACAGGAGGAATACGAGCATCTGCAGAGTTAATGTCCTGTATTCCTATCCATACAAGGGAAACAACTGCACTGTTAACATGCCCCCACCCTGCTTCCTAAAATCCTGCGCACATATGAAATTTCTTTAATGTATTCCTTTACATATTGAACTCATTCCTTTTCCTTTTTTTTTTTTTTGTTAATAATTTAGTTTGGTAAGAGAAGACTTTCCAGTCAGAAACTAAAAACTGAAATGCTCAACACTGCAGAAAATGGTTTCTTAGAGTTTGTTCTTTACCAGAGTTATTTTTAAAACCAAATATGAAATGTATCTCTAATAACTTTATGCCAAAATGGCAACAAAATTAGCCTTAAGCATTGTGCAGACATACTTTATATATGACCTTGACTAAGGACTATTTAGATGAAGTAATAACCTTATAAAAGGAAAAAAGGGAGTATTAGGTTTGAAGAAATGGCAGAAGTAGCTATGAGATGCAGGTTAGAGAAAACATGCCTGCTGGCAATGCCACATTCATGAGGTCAATGCAAGAGTCTTAGCATTCTCATTCTGTATGTAATATGTACTTGCTAAATAAAGTTCATATCTTACCATGAACTCTTGATCCCGTACTAGAATCATCACTAATACCTTGTGGACTTACGTCTTCAAAGGATGTAGTATCTATGTAAAATAGTAGAATGGATATAAAAATTTTTAAACAAAAACAAACAAAAAAAAAAGATAAAATCTTATTTATGCAGAATATGGAAATTCTTTTTTAATCACGTACAGTACATCTTGTTTTAACATATTTCATACACTCAATCAGAAGCTGGAACAGGAGTAAAAAACAGAATAACTCTGATGTGAGTTGACTTGCTTAAGGAAAATACCAGAAGCAGTGAAACCATCTCCCTGTGACCCCGCGAAGCAAAGCAAAGCCTGGGCTGTTCTATGTGGTTCTCTGATGGCGTGTTCCTAGGTTTTTGTTTGTTTGTTTTTTTAAAGCTTCTATCACTCTCTCCTTTTCTGTCTTTTACTTGGTTTACTTTTCCATTTCTTGTTAGTTCATTAGCTGTTTATTATGGAAGACCTAGGAAAGATGTAGTTATCTGTATGATGTTTTAACTTTTTGAAATGATTTGAAAATGCTCTCAGATTAAATCCAGATTGTTTTGATAATTATTTCAGGTTGCTGCTGTCAAAAAAAGTAAACACTGAAAAGTCAAATAAAAATTCCTGTTGCCAACAGTTACACCACAGTGCAAATAGCAGACGGCCTATACCTTTATTATTAACCAACTGCTTGGATCTGAAGCCTGTAGAAGAGTTGACAGTTGAAAAGTTGATGGCTGTAGTAGAGAAGGCCATAGCTCCCAATTCTTTTCTCCTTTTACCCGTTGAAATATCATCAGGAACCTCCAAATTCTCAGTACTACCTGTCCACTGTCCTCCTGCTAGGACCATGGACTGCACCAGGTCATTCATGGCTGGGATGCAAATGAAAGCAAATGAATCAGCATGGTTAATGTACTTGCTCTTATTTCTATTTTGTATTATAAAGGTTCTGATTATTGTCTATGGATTAATGCAAGTGAAATAAAAAACTAACCACAAGGTCATTTGAATTATGACATGCATTTAGCTGTATGAAATGAGGAGGCCAAAGCTTGATAAACTTCAGTAAATAATTTTATCACCCTCCACCCCCTTTAAAGGTAGGAAAAGGAATTTTACTCTGTACAACTGCCTTTTGAGCAGTGATGTGCAATATAATTAGAAGCCTTCAAAATGTGGTTTTGTGGTGACAAAAATGGAATGAATAAAGGTAAGATGGAGAGCAGTTTTTTTACAACATCACTATTGAAAATGATAAAGCGTCCTTGGTCAGAGCAGGTTACTGGAGAAATTATTCATTTTATGAATCAAATAAGTATACCACTCAATAAAAACCTGAAAGAGAGGATATCCAGTGACAGACATTTAATGTGATCAATTACCCATTCCACTTAAAAAAAGAAAAACCAGAGTATCAGTATATAAAGAATGACAAACATTTTCAAGGATTACAGGCCATTTTATTTATTTATTTAATCCTAGTTCATTAAGAAAATAAATACCTAATGCTAAAGGTTTTGTTATATTTTCTTTAAGCAAATTTCCTTGGGAAAAAATCTTTATGGCATATAAAATTAAAGTTTTTTTTCTGTCAACTTTTAGAAAGCACTGGAAATTTGTAAGTATATTACATGTATGACTAAACATATGCATGTATATGTATAAATGAACATACATATAATGCAGATTCAGTGCCAGTTTTGGAAAAAAAAAATTCTTCCAGCTCCATGGGTTACAGGAAGACTGCACTTTGCAAAATAAGAAAATTGGCACAGTCCAGAGAATGGTTAGTGAAAATTAGTAATGGAAGCCAGTGTAGTCATTTGAAAGAAGCTGAACTGTCATAAAGTCTTACACATGGAACGACGGTAGCAGGCCTTCATTTTGTCTTTATCCTTCGGTCTGTTCCTCAAAAAGGGCAGTCTTTTCAGTGCAACCACTTTAATGTCAGAGCATGAGAAAAAACAGAAACAGAAAAATGAAAGAAGAAAGGGAGAAGAACAGATGGGAGTTAAATGTTGAAATTAAGGACAGAAATGAATGTCTGAGTTTCAGCTATGTAAGCTACACTAAGGCTATTATTCTCGTGCTGCCAAGTGATTATGAAATATGAAGTATGTACTTTGATACTTTAAAATACTTGGAGAAGCACTGAAGACAATGATGAAAAACATATACTTAGAAAACCTGGACTAACTAAAGTCCTATAAATACAGGAAATGATAAGAACTACTTACTGAAGGAATAATTTTTCTAGTAAAGCTGTAAAGATAGGTAGACCTATATCACTAGGGCCACTCTTGGTGGACCAGGGAGCGTACGTGACAAAAATGTAGAGGGCTCTTCACTCCTCTGTTTTAACTTTGTTTTTGTCATGCCAAGTGGCATGTGGGATCTTCATTCCCCAACCAGGGACTGCACCTGTGCCACCTACAGTGGAAGCACATGGAGGCTTAACCACTGGACCACCAGGAAGTCCCTATTTTCCTTAACTTTTTAAATTATAAGGTTTTATTTTAGAAAAAAATAATTTAGGAAAATGTACATCCTGTATTTTAGTAAAATACCTCAACAAAAACTAACGTGTTCCAGGATGTTTAAAATAACCTAAAGAAATCTGATGCATTATTTAGATGCACCACAGAAATATATGTTCTTCTAAGACAAGTCTTTCAAAAGATGGCATGAGCAACTATGTTAATTTCATTCTGCAAAAGGTTGGCTGGAAGAAAAAACAAAAGTATTTTGATAGAAGCTTTTAAGCTCTGATAAGCCTAAAAAATAAGGAGGCATCCTAAAAAGCAAGCAAAAATGATAGAAAATTATGTATTTATAACATTTTTAGATATTTTGAAGGGCTTTGGGAGTCAGTTTATTTAAAGAATCACAGCATGACACAGGGAAATTATCAATATATGAATGAAAATTAGGATTATAACTACAGTAGGAGTCATTAACATAAAAATTTAAGTGTTCACTTAGAGTAACATTCTTAAGCTATACTTTAATAAGATTTTAATGGAAATTATATTATTATACCTCTTTGGAGATGCAATTTAAGAGGCAGGGAAAAAACTCACATTGAGATTTAAAAGCGTATTGCATACAGCCTTAATAGCTATGCTCTTTCTTAGGGTTTGCTCTTATCTTATAAATAATAAAAAGCTCTTTTCACAAACTGACAAGTATCACTCATTAAGGAGAATGCAAAGGCATACAGCTTTTTAACTTACTTATTTGATTGCTATTAAGAATAGTCATGACTCATTTAAACTTTTTGTTTCTAGGTCGGAAAACACAGCTGTTTTCAATGATTAAAAAGAAATGAACTGAAAGCAATGTAAAAATGGACACTTAGCTAAAACAAAGCTGAATGGTTGCAGCATGCACATGTCTTGTTTAGATACTTTTTCTGTTTTCAACTGTTTTCCATAGACTGCTTTACTGACAGACAGACATTCTTCCAAAATGGAAAGGATAAAAGGAGTTTTATATTTGCCACTGGTGGAAAGTGATCGTTCTTATGGCAATTAGTTTGTAGACATACAATGTTTGCTTCCCAAACTATATTGAAATTATGGGAATATTAGAATGGTAGGGTTTTCTGCTTATTTTTAAAATTCTAAAGCTGAATAACTGCTGGGAAGAAGAGTATTACTTCCTTCTGATTTTTACTCTGGATCTTTCCAGCACAGAGTATGAAGGAATGATAGACTGACAATTTAAAACAAGATGACCTTAAAAAAGACTGTTGTACCTTTCTTGTGTTATTTTCCTACTTGATTTATCTTCCTTTAATTGAAAAAATTATATCTACCCATGACCATTTCTCATTAAATCAGATGCCAGATATTTTATATCCAAAGATAGTAGATAAAATTGAATCATCTGGCACCTTTTTAAGGAAAACTTGATAATCTCTCTACAATACTTGGAGGTTTCATGTAGGTCTGGCTAACAAGACTAACCTTATGAGAACAGATAGAACTAAACCACCTTCTTATACACAAACATACTTGTATGTGTGTATATATGAATATGGTACTCATGTGCGTGTATCTGATTTTTTTTTGTTGCTTACTTGTGGATTCTAGTTCTTAGGGTGCTACAGTTGCATTCTTAAATATAGCCTATAATGAATGTCTAATCTCTTACACTCTAAAACACTGTCTTTTCAGAGATAATTCCCCTGAGGACAAAACCATGTCTATACAGTTTTTTGAGTGTTTTTAGAGCTGCCCATACAAAGTCTATCCCTGGGGGAAGTAGTGGCTGCTTTTGCCTGCTATTTACTTCTAAAGACTAATATTGAAATGTATATATTAATACATAAAAATGCACACATATATATAGTATCTATCTTGTACATATGTCTTATGTATAAACATACACACTATATATGCTTTTAAATTTAGTGATTCTGGTGAGGGTGTGAGTGGATTCAAACTATCCTGTTTACATATGTTATAAGAACATTGCTAGTAGTCACATTCTCCTATAACTTCAAAGGGCCTACCACCAGATTCTTTTCTTTCTCTTAAAATATTCTTCCTTAGGCTTTTACTTTGCTCTTAATGTTTAGCTAAGCACACTAGTAATGAAATCAAGAGAGTTAACTGTAGAGGTCACATTATGATATTACACTTCAGCATTTGAAATTTAAAAAATTAAATCACAAGTTTGTACAAAAACTTGTATCTCCAAATCTAACTGAACCTTTACCAAGCAATCCCTCAATAACTTTTATAACCTTCAATTATTTCTAAATCATTGAAAGACATTCTCTTCCAATTCATAGCAATTTTTCTTTGCTTCCTCCCCCTCAATATAACTTTTTTCCAATTTGATACCATCAAAGTATGATTAAAACCTCATTCTAAAAAGACTTATTACTCTATTTAGTTACAAATAATTATGAAAATGACATCTTATAAATATTTCTCAATTGCTCCTCATAATCTCCCTGTGAAGTAGGATGCAAAAGTAAACGTCTTGCCCATATTAACAGAACTAGCAAGTGGCAGAGGTATTCTGGCTCTCATTTCACTGTTCTTTCTATACTATTTTACCTTCCTGGTCAAATGATGGTATCTCTTTGTAATTCTCTAAATACACAATAAAGAAAATCACATGGCTATGCAGTACTGCAGTATGCAATCAATTTTAAAATCATATGGAGTTAAAAAGAAATGCATTCATCAGACATTATCCCAAAGGACTGTGGAAGCTATTTAAAAGAAATCTTTAGTAAGGAACTAAATCAATTCTAGAGATCACAAATGTTTAAAGAGTTTAAGCACTCACTGCTGCTTTTCTTGGTCCCCAAAGTTTGGCCATCTTCTAAAGAGTTTGAACCTACTGAAGAACTATCTTGACTATCTTGATGGGGGAGTTGAAGAAATCCTTCACTGGAGTCTGAGCGGGTTGGTGTTAAAGTTAGTGATTTCTGGCGTTCCCGATTAACGTCTTTCTTAGACTTTATCAATTTTCTCATTTTTAGAGTAATCCAGTTGCCTCTCCTAATAACATAATTTTTAAAAGTCTTATCAGTTTAAAATTCAGCATACAAATCCCCTCAAAATCTTTTTTTCCCCAAAATAAAAATGAAAAAAAAAAAAAACCCCAACTGGATAATAGTACCTTCTAGGAGGAGATGGGTCATAAAATTTGTATTGATCCATAATTTTCTCTTCTAATTTCTCCTTTTGTCGTCTTAATTCATTTAACTTATCACTATAAAAATAAAGTTACATTTAGGACGTCATATTTTGTACAGTTATGAATATTATTTGGATTCTAAAATCTAACTTCTCCCCAAAACACAAAGAAATACAAATACCATAGTTGACAACTAAGAATTTAATAGGCAGTAACAACAGAACTGTTTTCAAGTTTTTCGTTGTCTTTTAATTTACAACTTACTTAAATAAAATGACATAGGACTTAGAATCTCAATTTTCAACAGGATTTGTCTGAAGGAAATCGCCTATATTACAACATTATCATGACAAAAGAATTCTCTCAACATCTTTCTACAGTTATTAAACAACATTATATGCATAAATACACTAGATTCACCACAATTTACTAATAATCAAGCTGTTGATTCTATCTTTCACATCTCTCTTGTACTTGATCTTAACTACCACTGCTTGTGAATTACTTTTCACTAGATTATTGCAACAATCTTAAAACTTATTCCTTGTCTCTAATTCTTAGAACCTCCAATCTATAATGTCATCAGTGATTTAAACAAACAGCACGAATCTGATCATATTACTGCCCTGCTCAAATTTTTCAGCAAGTTCTCTGTACAGCAAAGAAAAACTTTTGTGAAGTGGCTCCTGAGTGTTTAGTCACTTCTCTGCTATGCCTCCTTCCACAATTTTGCTCCAGTATGAGCAATTAATTTTTAGACCATATATCATAATCATAATACAGTTTCATTACACCTCTTTGTCTCCGCATTTGCTGCTCTCTTGGCCTGTTACGCCTCCTCAGGCAAGTCTCAGCTCAATCATCTTTAAAGTCCAGCTTCTCTTGTAAGCTAAGGTACTTCTGCCCCTCTATTTGCTGTATTTCTATGACTTCCTATAACATACCTTCATTATAGAAATTATTTTTACTTCTTGTTTTATATTAATAGATCATTAAGAGCTGGATCTATATGTTTTCATTTTAGTATTTCTAGTTATTAGCATACTGCCCAGAACATAACCATTAAAAAAAATACTGAAATAACATTGAAAATTAGGAAAAATTAGCATTGCATTTTCTCTGCCACCAGAGTAATATTTCAGAGTGAAAAGTTTTTTGGTACCTACATGTACTGTCTTTGTTCAACATGGAAAAGATCCTTGCTTTCCATATTCTGCTCCAATAGTGTTCTGTTCTGTAGCATTAATGTCTGAATTTGATCTAGTAGATGTCGATTTTCTTCTTCTAAATTTCCTTTCAGTTGGCTCAGTAACTGTTTTAAACACAAACATTTATTTTTAAAATATCAACATTTACATTTGACACAAATCCCCTAAAGCATATGAAAAATATAAAGTATTTCACAAAGTTTCTATCTTCTGCCAGTAAACAATCAGATGGTTGTCCTTTGATTAGAATTAGTGATTATTTTAGTAATAATGACATCTAAACTACTGGGTTATGTGCAAGACATTTATGTTTTCTTAATTCTCAGAAACACTGGGTTTAACATATACTAAGCTATCTACTTCCAAAACCACTGCTGTCTTTCAACCGTTTTGACTTAGAGTTCAAAGCTAGATATATATCTCTGGCCTTCTGTTTAAATAGCTATAAAATGCTAAACAAATTAGTAATTCTCTAAATCTTAACGACTCTACCCATCTATAAACTGAAGATCACAACTCTCATCCCCCAAGACTGTTGCAAGGATTAAATAATATATGTAAAGTAGCTGGTGTCATGCCTATGGCACACAGTAGGTACTTTATATACCTCATTCTTCCTCTAACCATTGTTGTCAAGAAACCTCAAAAGTTTGTGTATAATTTTTATGGCTTGAACCAAGGGAATCAGGTAATACTGTAAATTGGTGGTCATATTACTGATTATTACTGGCAGTTAGGCTGCCAGCATGATTTCAGCTGCTTCTCTGTTGTTAGCAGAAACTAGAAATATGCTTCAGTTAGGCCAGAGGTTCCAGCAGAAGTCAGAAAGCCCAAAGCACTGACTGTCAAAATTTAATATCACTTGTAGAATACATTTTTAAAATAAAGATTTCTGGGTTCCAGCATTAGAATTCAGCAAGTTTGGATTTTTTTTTTAGAGTTCTGTACTCTTTTTTTTTTTTTAAGCCAACAACAACCCCTTCTCAAAAAAAAAAAGACAAAAACTTGCTCAGAAGGTAAAAAAGCAAATAGTATAGTACTATGAATATGCATAACTAGCCATCTAGATGTAACAACTGTCAATACTGTGCTGTATGTTTTATTTATTTATATGCTGTTAAACTGAAACGTAACACATGTGAGAGATTCACTGCAAAAATGAATGCAGTTTTCATCCCTGTGCCCTCTTGTGCTGTGACTTCTCACTTTTCCTATCAAGAAGCGGAATCTATTACTACTTCCTCTCTTCTTGACCTGGGAATCCCTTTGGCTAAGGGAAGGAGGCAGAAGCGATGGTGTGAGAGTTCCAAGCCCAGGCCTCAAGAGGCTTATGTGTTTCCACTCAGGTTCCTGGAATCCCCTTGAAGGATAAGAGTCCACACGGCACAGAAAAGCTACACCAGCTGGGGCCAGCTTAGACCAGCCAGCTCGCAGGGTGCATGCTGGCTAACTGCAGATGCCCGAGCAAGTCCTACTAAGGTCTACTCATCTTGGTCCACACATCAGTGCAGATCAGCACATCTGCTCAGCTGATCCACACACTCAAGGGCAAAAGTAAATGTTTACAGTCCCTTACCACTGAGGTTCTGTGTTTCTTACACAGCATTACTGCATTAGCAGACAACTCATAAAACATATACAGAAAAAAGAACAAATTTTTAAGTGTATATACAACTCAGTGAATGGTCATAAAGTGAACTCATGAGCGAACCAGTACTCAGATCAAGAAACAGCACATCAACTGTATTCCAGAAACATCTGTTGAGTGCTCTTCCAATTAGCACACTTCCCACAGAGAAGTCTCCAACACTATGGATTCATTTTTCCATTCCCTTCAAACATGTTATTATATGACTTAATCCCTAGCCAAGGGCGGGCTGATTGTTGGGACAATCATTAAGGTAGTCAGGGCCCTTTTCTGATTTTTCTTGAGCAGTCTTTGAGACCACCAGTGAGATGCAGGATCTTACCAAGACCAATTATGGCTAGCTGTCTCATTCTCTGGATCTCCCATGTTAAATTTCTGAGTAGTTTGTTCTTCTGTGATTTGCCCTGTCCAGTGTTTCAGGCTACCTTTGACAACCCTCCAGTAGCAAAGCTGCTGGTTTCACGGCATGCCTCTTGACTGAACTCCCAGTTATGGAGAAAGGGGAGGAGGAGACTCAGAATGGGAGAAGTCACATAATAAACTGTAATTCCTACCAAAAGCTGAGAAGTTTTTCTTTAATTCTTCTCAATTTGTTGTATGTCTCAGAGTCCTAAAAGTGGTTGTTTTATATTTTTTTCCAATTCTGTTGTTTCCAGGAAAGTTGACTTGTCATGTTCCTTTTTTCTTTCTGGCCATGTTGTGCAGCATGCAGGATCTCAGTCCTCATTTGTCATGTTCTTCTGTAAGTCTGGATTTCCCTGGTGGCTCAGATGGTAAAGCATCTGCCTACAATGTGGGAGACCCGGGTTTGATTCTGGGTTGGGAAGATCCCCTGAAGAAGGAAAAGGCAACCCACTCCAGTACTCTGCCTGGAAAAATCCCATGGACGGAGGAGCCTGGTAAGATACAGTCCATGGGGCCGCAAAGAGTTGGATACGACTGAGTGACTTCATTTCACTTTCTGTAAGTCTATTACCTCTATTATATTTTATTTAGATTTATAAATGACAAGCAGAATGAAGGTTCCATAATTTCTGAACTTTGTTGCATAATTAAATATATATGACATCAAACTAATTTTTCCTTCCATTAGTTTGTGATTTCAGACAAAAAGCTTTTAAGTATTACCTTCTGCTACAGTCTCTCCCTTTTTACGACTGATGCTGAAGCTGAAACTCCAACACTTTGGCCACCTCATGTGAAGAGTTGACTCATTGGAAAAGACCCTGATGCTGGCAGGCATTGAGGGCAGAAGGAGAAGGGGATGACAGAGGATGAGATGGCTGGATGGCATCACCGACTCGATGGGCATGAGTTTGAGTAAACTCCAGGAGTTGGTGATGCAGGGAGGCCTGGCGTGCTGCGATTCATGGGGTCGCAAAGAGTTGGACATGACTGAGCGACTGAACTGAACTGATTCCTAATTTCATTTAAGGGTTTTGCTTAAGTGCTGATTTTCTAAGTTTCAAGAAATTCAGATGGTAAGCTATACTCAACTTTTAACGATTTAAAGACCAATCACAAAATATAAGAATTGTAATATTTAAGGCTTTCAGCATTCTTTTTTCTATTTCAAAACTTCTATCACATTATCAACTCATCATGGGAAGAAGCAGAGAATCATGTTAAAAGCACAACTGTATACATAAGGCAGATGTCACTTCTGTTCTAAACTTCCCAATAGCTCCCCTGTTTTATTCAGAAAAGTATTTTACAATGGCCTACAAGGCAACATGGGCTTCCCCTGTGGTGCAGTGGTGGTAAAGAATCTGCCTGCCTATGTAGGGGATGCAAGAGATGCAGGTATGATCCCTGGGTCAGGAATATCCCTTGGAGTAGGAGATGGCAACCCACCCCAGTATTCTTGCATGGAAAATTTCACAGGTAAAGGAGACTGGTGGGCTACAGTCCAAGGGGTTGCAAAGAGTTGGACAAAACTGAGAGCACCACACACATAAGGCAACGTATCTGGCCCAGGCAATCTCCGAGCTCATCTCCTACCACTCTTCTCATTTGCTCATTCCGCTCCAGCCACACTAGCTTCTTTTGAGTGTTCCTCAAACATACCAGGATTCTTCTGGCCTAGATTAACTGTGTGGGCTGACTGCCTGGAAGGTTCCTTCCTCAATATCCACATAACAACACACTAATCTCAAGTTTCAATTTGTATTCCTCATCTACTCTGGCAGTCCTTATCCCCGGTTACCTCTCTCCATTTTTACTTGTACATAACTTTTATCTTGTAACATACTATATGTGTTGCAGACTAATTTTCAGAATGGTTACAGCAGTATTTCCAGTCCAGGTGCTCTTCCAGAATCTTGCCATTCACCATCAAGAGGCTGAGTCTCTCTTTCCCTTGAACCTGGGTGGGACTCTGCCTCAGTGACTAGAATGCAGGGGAAATGATGCTGCACGTCTTCTGGGGCCCGATCATTAATACACAGATGCCTTCGGTCTGGTTCTCACCACAGTGTGGGAAAGCCCAAACCAGTCCATGGGGAGAGATCACAAGAGGAGGAGACTGACACTTTCAGCTGATGGCCAGCATCAACCACCAAACATGCAATTAGCCTTTCAAATCTTTCAGCTGAGGGCCCACATGTAAGTGGAGGAGACAAACTGGCCCCATTGTCCCTGTCCAAATGCTGACCCACAGGCTATGAGAGATAATAAACGACTGTTTTACACTACTGTATTTTCGAGTAAATTGTTATATAGCCATATGTAACAAAACACTGAAACACTATATATTTTCACTGTGTATTATATTTATTGTCTACTTCCTTCCACCAGAATATAAATTCCACAAAGGAAGAGATTTTTCCCTTTTTGGGTTACTAATACATGCCAAGTAGTCAGTAAACATTTTTTCATTAAACAAGGGTTTAATTTCTCAAAGTATCTGAACATCTAAGTTTAAACTAAGATGTAAAAATTGTTGAAATTAAAGAAGGAGGTTTTTCTGAATTATTTGTGAATTTAAGTAATCCCTGACCAAATTTTTTAGAAATACCTCATTAAACATTAAACATACTGCTATTGTCATTATGATGGTTTACCTTTTTAGGCAAGTCTTAATGCCTAAAGAAAGGAAACAGCAATTAAATTTGTTAAACTCACCTCACACTGGTTATTTAGCTTGGTGGATGTGATGTCCAATTGTTGGTATTGTTCTTTTAACTTTGAAAATTCCGCTTCTAATCTTGTTTGTTCCAGTTTCGAATTATTTAAAAGACTTTTCAAGTTTTTATGGTCAGTTTGCAAAACTTCAGTCTCTTTTAAAAGCTGATTATATGTATGATTCAACCTATAATTGGAAATGATAGAAACAGATTCTCTCCATAGCTTTCATTATAATTTACACAATGTGAAACTGCTATAAATCGCATTTAGACATACTTTAAAGAACAGAAAAGATTCTCTTGCCAGTGACTAAACTCATCTAGAATCAGTTCCAAGTCTGTAAAAACTAAATTAAAAAAATTTTAATCATTAATCAGAAAATATTTCACTTAAAGGACAAAGGAGAAAATAACCAATCCAGTATTAATTAACCTAGAGAATTAAAAGATTTTATAATTCAATATGAAAAATAAAGAAAAATCAGATCAAACGAATAATCAGTCCAGTACGAGACATGGTAACCTATCAATCTATTGCCAGATTACTAAGATATACATACTAAAATCAAAATTCTAGTTATTATTTCTGCAAATTATTCATAATTATGCAGTCCTCAATTACTAATGACAAATTTTGGATTTTTAAAAAAAATCAAACTATAGCCTTATCTGTCCTTTCTACTATTACACCTTTAGAACAAGGTCCACTGACCTCTAAAAGAGAGATCAGCAAATTCTTTCTGTAAAGGACCACAGAGTAATAAATACCTTAGGCTTTATGGGTTGCATGCTATCTATAGCATGCTCTTCTTTTTTGTTCCCCATCACATTTTAAGGTGTTAAAGAGTGTTCTTTGTTTGGGAGCTGTACAAAGCAGGCTGCAGGCTAGATATGGCCTGCTAAGTTAGCTGTAGTTTACCAACCTTGATCTTATGGCATTAAGATCTGGAACTCATACAAGGTAGAGAAAGCCAAACAAAACAAACTTTTGCTCACCAAGATATTTGCTCACAACCATCTAATAATTTATTTCAACTCATTTCCTAAAGGATTTGAGTCCATTTATAATAATTACAAATAACAAAATAATACATAAAAAAAAAAACTTGGTAAAAAAGTAAAATGGCAACACCAGAAACATCCAATAAATACTCCATCAGCAGGCTGAATCCATGTATGAATGCATACCATGTGTGTAACAGCTGTGTAAACCTCACAGAGGCATACAGATGACTACTTAATGCTTTAAGGAGGCAGAGATATAAAGAGAATATACAGTGTCCTGAATATCATCCCAAAGGCAGATACTAAAATCAGCTCTTGAAGAGAGTTTTTTTTACACTGTCTCTCAAAGCTGAGAACATTAACACTGAAATGCAATTCAGAGAACATAATTCCAAAGACGCCAAGATAACCTAGTATGTGTAAGCAGCTTTCTTGTCTTAGCATTATCTAAGATTAAAACTTAGGTGATTTAGAGAAATGAATAAACTATTGTTCTTTAGATTAAGTCTCCACAAATATCTTTTATTTGTGAAAGAATTCTTCCAGGTTTTACTTAAAGCATTTTCTTTCCTGAGAACACAGGCATGAGTGCACAAAAGCTGGGTAAGAAACCAAAGTACTGAGAGACAGAAAATACTCTACTCAGGCCCACTCTTCCCCTCCAAGACTGCATACTGGGTGAACTGCAATCAAGTTCATCAAGCTCAATTTCTTCTTATCAGTTAGGTTGAGTTCTTTCTCTGGAGACTCATCATTTATGTATATGATTAGATTCTGGAAGGTCTACTCAAGTTCACAAACTGCCCCAGTTTGGTTTGAATTCCAACAAGTAAAAAGGTTAGGTTCAAGATGGGATTTCCACAGTAAATGCATTCCCCAGTGTTCTACATGTAATAACAACAACTGTGTCCTTGTGTCCTATAACTTGTCACAATTTGGTCTTCCACTGTTTATACTGTACAAATACATGCTCCTTGATTCTAGCTTGGTGTTAAGATTATTAAAGTTAAAATCCATCAGTACAGAATTTCTCTTTGTTAACAACTAAATTAAAAACTACTGAGTATGAAAATGGCTCCAGAAGCTTAGGGATTTTTTTTTAATAAAAGAAACGAAACAGATGTTTAATTTTAAAAATCAACTGCATTAAATTCATAATAGGATAAATACTGAATGATCCCCATTTGAATTTTGTGTGCTTTTAGCACTTTCACTAGGGTAATGTAAATACAATAAACAAATGTTCAGATAGTTTAAATTTTTCAAAGGCTTCTAAAAATTTTTTGAAAATGTACCCTTATGAAGTAGGCTGATTACCAGTTGACAAGTTTTGATTTTGCCAAGGCTTCAAATTAAAAAATTGCCCCATGGTAATATGAGCCCATTAATATGTAAGACAGTCAAAAATAAGACTCCAAAACCAGTTAGCCAGAAAATGACAAGGCCACTCACTTGTAGCAACTCTGAAAGACAAGAATTGTGATACCAGACTAGTAGAAAGAAAGATATAAAGAATCAGGTTTTGCTACATTCTGTCTCAATCAAGTATGCAAATGCAATCAACATACAGAAATTTTGTTATATGTTGTGGCTTAAAAACTTAAGTAGTTGAATAAATCAAGAGAAACAATCATAGAAAGTTCAAGACCCACGTTCTTGTCTGAATCACTCGTATAACTAGCTAAATGATGCTGTTGGGTAATTTACGTATTACCCTGGGGTCTTTTTTAAAAATTCTAAATTATAGGTAGTACTGTAAAGGGGTAACATACCCGTTGGATATAATGAATAAATACATAATTATATATATATACATATTTATTACCTATCATTTTCACCACAAAGCTTCTTGAATTCTGCAGCTACAGTCTCATGGTTTTTGTTTTTAAGCAGCATTTTTTCTTGTTCTACTTTCAATGTTTTTTCCAAATCTTCCAACTGTCCTTTCTGCTTTAGTAACTGATTGTAACTGGAAAAAAAAATGTTATGCATTTGGTTTATAATATTTCCTCAGGAAAAAAAGATTTAGAAATAATGGAAATGAGTTAATTTAATAAATATCACATAAAGCATGTAAGTTTATAAACACTTCCTATATAAATTATCTCAGATCTGTTTAACATGTAAAATTTATTACATTATTCCATTCAAATTGTTTTCTTAAATTGGTTTTAAGGTAACAACACAAGAAAAGATTATAAATTACCGATCTTCAAGGTCTTTATGTTCCACCTCAAGATTTTTGTGGGCAGACTTTAGAGTTCCATGTTTAGCAATGAGAGTCTCATACTCTGAAGCCTGCCGTTCATGTAGAAGTTCCAGCTTTTCATGATCTTTGACCAGAGAATCATAGAGAGATTTCAGATCTTCTCGCTCTTTGATTACAGATTCATTTTCATTTTCTAAAGAAGACTGCTGGATTAGGAGTTGTGCATTCTGGTTCATAAGTGAGGTACTTTGGGAATTAAGGGTGGAATTTTCAACCTACAAGAATGTATACTGTATCAGACATCAGAAAAATAGTTTATTTTATTTATAATTCTTTTAAAATAAAAGAATGTTAACTTTAGGAAGCACTAAATAAATCACAACAGATATATTCATATTATACCAAGAAAATTTGGATTTTAGAGCCCAAAAAGTAGCTACCATTTAATTTTTATTTTTGGTAGGTGTTACATATTATGAGGTATGTATCACACATATTTTTTGAGTTGAATTATTTTAAATGAAGGTGATTAGCAACAATTCCATAAAAGTAAAAAAATTAAAATGCCAGTTTATCATTTTCTAGAAGTTGACAGTTGATAGAGCTGAAAAACTACTTGTGAAACTCAACTGGTAATTTTCTCAAGTCTAAATTAAACCGGGGCTTTCCAGGTGGCTCAGTGGTAAAGTATCCACCTGCCAACGTAAGAGATGCAGGAGACATGGGTTCAATCCCTGTGTTCAGTAGATCCCTTGGAAAAGGAAATGGCAACCCACCGCAGCATTCTTGCCCATGGACAGAGGCGCCTGGTAGGCTACAGTCCGTGGGGGTCACAAAGAGTCACACACGACTTAGCAACTGAAAAACTAAATCAAACCAGTATTTTCTTTTTCATTTGGAAAAGTTATAGAAAGAACTTTTGGATTCAGAGGGGGACAACTCCACTTTTTAAGAGGTTTCAGAAAGTTGTACTTTCCCCCACCTGACTGCTCTATTTGAAAAGACATTGGTAGTATTAATTGCAAGATGGATCCTCTGAATTAAGGGTAAGTCTAAAGACAAAATTCTCATGTTGTTATTTTTCAATAACCTAACTGATATGTTGCAATAATACTTTAAAACAAGGGTTTCTACCTGATTAATTATAATTAACTAGTTGAAATGAGTGAAAGGCCATAAAGTCAATGTAAATAGAATTAGTTTACACACTCTGACATTTTAAAAATGCTGATATAATTTGGCATAGTACTATATAAAAATACTTTATCTTCAACTAATTGTTAAATTCACTCACTAAGAAACAATGTTATTTATGTCTATTCATCCTTATTTTAAAGCATAATTCAAGAGTTTTGTTGCATATCCCCACAATATTACATTACAACCTGAAGCTTGGCATTCTGTGTTTGAAGAGTGGTATTCTGCTCCTGTAATGATACTGTCTGCCTCTGAAGTGCAAGAATCTGAGCCTGCAAATTATTGTTCTGTGTTTCAAGTTGCTTCAGTTGAGTTTTCAATGCTTGCTTCTCTGCTTGCAGTGTAGCATTCTGAATAAAGAAAATACATATTAAAAATAAAAGCAGCATCAAACATATTTCTGTTTAACAGATACTAGAATGTTATACAAGAGTTCATTACCATGATAATCCAAAAAATCTCAACAACCTTAAAAGAGAAAAAGACAAAACATTTCCCCTGTAACCCAAACTGTAAAAAAGATACTTAATCTAGGAAAGAAGGCAATACTAAAACCTTAATACTATTGTGTCTGTGTTCTGCCTGTTTTATAAATGTCCAAAGAACAACATATTCCATTATAAATTTATTAACATAACAAACTAGAATGAAATTGTCAGTTCTGTGATTTTTATGCTATTCAAAAGGGCCCAGAGCACATAGGGCTGTGTCTAGCCAAGAGACAATGTACCTTTTTCTAATTCCGCAGAGGCAAATACCCATATACACATATAGATATATGTAGTGGTCCCTGGGGTAGCAGCAAAATTAAGTATTTTATAAACACAGTTATTTAGAAGAGAAGCAGGAACAATCTTAACCATCTGTTTAAAAAAAGTTTAGTACATAATAGACCTAACAGATGTTACATATTTTTCTCCAGTGTTTTTTTTTCATGGTATAACACATTTTACTACAACTATTTTAGCTATATGACTTCTGGAATGAATCCAAATAAAACATACTACTTTCAATCTTTCTAATATATAGGATCATATTTCAATTTTATAATTAAATGGTTGAATTACCATGCAAATCATTATATTTAAAATGTGATGTTTGTTATAAATATTATATTTTCAGGATTATTTCTAAGTAAAAACTCATTTAAAAATGAGCATCCAAAAGTACAAAGGAAAAAAAAAAGTATAAAGAATCCTCTAGAAAATCAAAATAAAACTTTAATATACAAGGCCAAAATTTATATATAATTGCAACATGCAAAAAAGGTTACAACTGAATCACAACAGATCATCTTTATCATTATTTTATATTAGTGGACAATGCCAACATTCACTTTATAGGCTTTCAAGCTATATATACTACATGTCACAGTATAAAAGTTAAATCATGATTTAACTGATATTATACTATAAAACCAAAGGTGAGAAAGAAAAATGCTTTAAAATGAATGTTGACATTGTACTTTTCTTTTGTTCATCTGATCACAAAGGGTAAAAAAAATTTACACTAGAAAAGTAATATGGAATACTAATATCTTTATATACGATCCTGATATAACAAAAAGGTGCACCATTTTCCACTTATATATGTGAGATATATACGTTTATTCACTTATACTGTTACAGTTCAGCTCTTCAGAAACCAAAATGTAAAGCTCTAACGAGTCTGGGTATCCTTAATAAGAAAAACTCCTACAGTCTATAATGAATAGAAGAGATAACTGAGAGTAGACAAGGTATATCAGAACAAGAAAAGGTTTACAATGGAAAAGGATGAAGTTAACAAACATATGTACTAGCAAATCAGCAAAAATTACCAGTCTAATATAGGGTAGCCATCTTTATAAACCCATTATCTAAATGAGTGAAATATGTCAATCAATTCCTCCCCAATGGAAATTTATAGATGAAATAAGTGGGAAAAGAGATTCATCTTATAGAATATAACACACCAAGTTTTCTGAAATGTAATTTTTAATTCAGGTGACTGATATATAATTATATATGACTAAATAATGAAACATGAATTTTCATATGTAGCTGAAAAATACATTAAAAAATATAAAAGAGTTCACTAATAATTTAAAACACACAAATTAAAATATTTTCTCCTATCACTTAAATAGAAATTACAAGGTTGCTAATATCCAATGTCAATCTGGAATAACAGATATTCTATTAGTGGAACTGAAAATTCACTTTTTTGAAAAGCTTTTACAACAGTATCAATTAAAGTTAAATACACATACAGAAATATCTCTATATATATGCTCTTTGGCCTATCAGTTCTACTGTCAGTAATTTACTACCCTAGGAACTTCCCTGGTGGTCCAGTGGTTAAGACTCTGCCAGCCCAATGTAGGGGGGTGCATGTTCGATCCCTGGTTGGGGAACTAAGACCTTACATGCTGTGGGTCCAAAAAAGTTAGGGTTTCCAAGGTGGTGGCAGTGGTAAAGAACCCGCCTGCCAATGCAAGAGATATATTAAGAGACTCGGGTTTGATCCCTTGGTCCGGAAGATCCTCTGAAGGAGGGAATGGCAACCCCCTCCAGTATTCTTGCCTGGAGAATCCAACAGACAGAGGAGCCTGGAGGGCTGTAGTCCATAGGGTCGCAAAGTCAGACTCAGCTGAAGCAACTTAGCATGCATAACACATTAGGGCTTTCCAGGTGGAGCCAGTGGTAAAGAAACCGCCTGCCAATGTAGGAGACTTAAGAGATGCGGATTCAATCCCTGGATCAGCAAGGGACTCCCCTGAAGGAGGAAATGACAACCCACTCCAGTATTCGGCAGGATACGGTCCATAGGGTTGCAAAGAGTTGGACACAATAGAAGAAAATCAGGATGCAGAAACATGTTATAACATGGATTTTCACAGCACCAAAATCTGAAAAATAACTTAAATATCCACTGATGTGGAACTTATTTAAATAAATTATGGTAATATATACACAATGGAATAGTATGTGGTCATTAAATAAAATGATATATGTGCTAAAATAGATCTAAGCTAAAATAATTGGAAAATGGAAATAAGGTCTCAAAAATGTAAATATGTAAAAGAAATAAAACTATAAACAGATACCTCACAAACATTTTTCTGGAAATATAAAACAGTTTTCAGTGACTATTTTTGAATGAAAAAGTAGAAATCAGTAGTGTAAGAGATTAACTTCTGTCTTCATGGCTTAGTTTTCAACAAACAAATTAGAAAACAATAAAACCAAAGTTGGCTTAAAGCTCAACACTCAGAAAACTAAAATCATGGCATCTGGTCCCATCACTTCATGGCAAATAGACGGGGAAACAGTGGAAGACTTTCTTTCTCCAAAATCACTGCAGATGGTGACTGCAGCCATGAAATTAAAAGACGCTTACTCCTTGGAAGGAAAGTTATGACCAACCTAGACAGCATATTAAAAAGCAGAGACATTACTCTGTCAACAAAGTCCAGCTACTCAAGGCTATGGTTTTTCCAGTAGTTATGTATGGATGTGAGAGTTGGACTATAAAGAAAGCTGAGTGCAGAAGAATTGAAGCTTTTGAACTGTGGTGTTGGAGAAGACTCTTGAGAGTCCCCTGGACTGCAAGGAGATCCAATCAGTCCATCCTAAAGGAGATCAGTCCTGAGTGTTCATCAGAAGGACTGATGTTGAAGCTGAAACTCCAATACTTTGGCCACCTGATGCGAAGAGCTGACTCATTGGAAAAGACCCTGATGCTGGGACAGATTGAAGGCAGGAGGAGAAGGGGACGACAGAGGTTGAGATGGTTGGATGGCATCACCGACTCCATGGACATGGGTTTGAGTAAACTCCAGGAGTTGGTGATGGACAGGGAGGCCTGGCGTGCTGTGGGCCATGCGGTGAAGAGTCGGACACAACTGAGTGACTGAACTGAACTGAACCACAACTCTTTTACTTGTTAGCACGTTAAGTTCTTTAGGCTCATTCATCTTTGAAAAATAAATGCCTGCTGAATTATTTTCTACAGTAAATATTTAATAAACTCACTCAGTGCATATTTACTAAGAATCTGCTATCTACCAAGCATTGTTTTAAACAGAGAAGGCACAGTGATGTAAAAGAAAGACAAGTTACCTGCTTTCAGGGAGCTTTTTTATAGTAGTCAAATAGTAAATCAATGAATAAAAAAAATTAATTGGTAAAAAGTTCCATGAAGAAACTAAGCAAGGCAGTGGTGTGAAAGTAAATGGTTTTAGGCTGGGAACAACTGCTTCAGTGGAGAAGGGGTTAGGAAAAACCCCCTATAGATGACATGTGATGTGAGACCTGAATGGTGACAGAAGCCTGTCACGTGTTCCAGCTAGGGCAAGCAAACAGGCCCTGAAAGAGGAATAAACAGAAAACGCCAATATGACTAGAATTAATTTGCTTATTAAGTGCCAGTCACTGTTTTGTTTTCCACATATTAACAGATACTAATATTATCCTCAGATTAATAAATAAAGTAGGTAGAAGACTAATATGGCATAAGGCCAGAGATACAGGCAGGGCAATGTCAAATAGGATCTTATGGATATAGTAAAAAGTATGGAAGTGAAAGAGAAAGTGTTAGTTCATTTGTGTCCAACTTCGAGATCCCATGGATTGTATGGAGCCTGCCAGGCTCCTCTGTCCATGAAGTTGGTAGTCATTTCCCTTCCCCAGGGGATCTTCCCAACCCAGGGATTGAACCCACGTCTCCTGTACTGCAGGCCGATTCTTTACCTCTGAGTCACCAGGGATTTCATTATTAACAAAATGGGAAACCACTAAAGATTTTAAGCAGGAAAATGACATGACCTGGATTATGTTTTAAAAATAACTCTAGGGTTTCCTTGGTGGTCCAGTGGTTAAAAGTCCACCTTGCAACGCAGGGGACACTGGTTTGATCCCTGGTTTGAGAAGTTCCCACACGCCATGGGGCAACTAAGCCCAAGAGCTGCAGTTACCAAGCCCACGTGCAGCAACTGCTGAAGCCTGCAAGCCCTGGAGCCCATGCTCCACAAGGGACTCCACTGCAGTGAGAAGCACACATACCGCATCGAGAGAGAAGCTCCCACTCTGCAACTAGAGAAAGCCCATGAGCAGCAACAAAGATCTAGTGCGGCCAAAAATAAATAAATAAAAAACCTCACAAATTATTAGAAGAACTCTAGGTTACTACACTGAGAATGGGGCAGTTTGGGTGGCAAGTTAAAGGGACAGGCCGGTTAGGATGACACTTATAACAGTCCAGATGAGGCATAAGGGTAACTTAGGCTACAGTGTTAGCACCAGAGACAGAGAAATACATGAGTTTGCATTCTATTTACATGACAGAGTTGACAAAGCTTGCTGATGGGCTTACATGACGATGATGAAGAAAAGAATATTAAATTGTTCTTGTCTTAATATGATAAAACAAACTGATCAAGAAAGTAGAAAGTGAACAAAACTACAAAACCAGATTAGTTTTATATATTAGTGTTATATATTCAGTGATCCTTTACTTCTAAAAAACTTTATTCCTTCTAAAATACTTACATTTCTTTCAACTTCAATTAATCTGTCTTTAACTTTCAGAAGTTCTCTAGTTGTTTCTTGACTTTCTCGCTCCCATTTGTTGTCTTCACCAGCAGCTGGAGGAGAGCTCTGAACCATTCTTTCCTCATCCTGTCTCTGTTTGAGAGCCTCATAATTCTTTTTCACCTAAAATTTTATTTTAAAATATCTTTTAAAATTGAAGTATAGTTGATTTATAATAGTTTTCATTTATTTAAAAAGGGAGAAAACATACCACCAAGATTATATTTATCATAATTAAACTCCACAACAGCCTGGTGAATGTGAGAGACAGTTTATTTAAAAATATAATAATATATACAATTACCATTATTATCATGATCACAATTTATGCATTGTGAAGTGCAAATGTTTCCTCTAGAAATATTAATATACCCTGCATAAGTGTCATGTTGCGATTATTTTGTAATTTCAGATCCTGTTGCTTATGATGAAAGTATCACTGAAGAATAACAGATGAATACAGACTTGTTGCTAAGTACTAACAATTGTTTTTATAGCCATTTATAATTGGTTTAGAGATTTCAGAGATCCCCATGTCAAGAACAAAAACTTGACACATGTGTTAAGTCCCCTTAAAAAGAATAACTGAAGCTGAGGAAGTATCTATTTATGTATGGTCTTTTAAAAAGGATTATGTTGCCCAGAATGACCTGTTACTAAATAAATGACTTCTTTATATGGATACTGACCCACATAAAATTACTATTATTCAATTTATAAGGAGTGAGCAATCCAAGGATATATCTTATCCAGGGTTTTCTGGTATGATTATAACCAAATCCTACTTTAACAGAGCAAACTCAAAACTAACAATTTGGTCATCATCCAAAATTAATGATAAACTAAATTGTCTCTTCAATTTAAATTATTGTTATACTAAATTACTAGTTTCTCCTAGGAAATGATTATCATAAATTTCTAACTTAAACCCAAACTTTCCATAAGACAAGGATACAGATCTTTAAAATAATTCAATGTCTAATGCAACCTCAAGAAAGCTTTATGGCTCAAACTTTGCTATTACTATGGAGTTAGACAATGATGTGAGATTATAGAAAATAAGATGCCAAGATAGAGTGTCACTTAAATCTTGGCAAATGATCAAACAGATGTTCTAAGATCCTGATTTTCCACTTTTTAAAAAAATACTTTCTGACATCCTAAATAATATAGATGGATAACATAATTTCCAGCCTATTTTATATTAATTTCTCACAGGCTCTTTTTTCAAGGCTTGTAAGAGCTATGGACATATGTCATTATTAAGAAGGGGACATGAGAATAAAACTCAGAACTTCTCACTTTCAGTCCACTGTTCTGTAAGTTTCAAAAATGATCCTTTACTGTCTGTATCATTAATGAAAATCATTTATTTATGTTCATATTGAAAACGACATTTTCCATCAGGGTTTTTCAGAGGCAGTGTACAAGTGGGTGCTGCCTTCTTATCTAATTTATTAATTTAAATAAATTAAATGTCTTTTAATTGGGATGTACAGACCATTTACATTTAATGTGATGACTGACATGGTTTGGTTTAAAATTGCTATGTTGCTATTTATTTTCCATTTGTCCAATCTGAAGTTTGTTCTTTTTCTGCCTTTGTTTGGATTTTTTTATTCTATGTAATCTCCTTTGCTGGCATTTTAGTTTTATTTCTTTGTCATACTATTTTAGTGGTTACTTTATACTTATTACTCATATTTAGCTTTCATAGTCTATTTTAACTATGAAAAAACTAGCACGGTATAATTAATCAATCATATATTAAAAACTAGAACAGCATAATTTCAGTTGAATGCATGTTTATGGCAGAAAACTAGTCCAATAATAATAATTTGGAAATCTTGCACTTACAAATGGCTGAAAGTGGAAGACAATCTCTAACTTTTAGACTTGAAACACATAATATACCAACCCATGCTCAAACCCATTATTTTCTGGCTTAGTAGCTTCATGAAATTGACTTTATTTGCAATATAGTAATACTGCATAAAGGGCAAAAATTCAGAAAAAGAAAGATGATTAATCAAATGTGGTAACAAGTTTTACTTCATTTTTTTGGACAACACTTTATGCTGACTAAACAAAGTTCTAAAATTTCTTCTGTAACAAAAAACGTTCTGTGTTAATGTCTGAGACAAACACCAGCAATGATGGTATGGGCAAATGAGGAACCAGTCCTTTTCCTCTCCTGTATGGGAAATCAATTTTTGGGTAACTTTCTCTGGAAACCTGATAAAACTACAATGTTCCATGTTACCAAGAAAAATGACTTCTGATTGGTAAATTGTATTTGTACTATAAGAACTCCAAGTACCTAATAAGAAGCTACATCTTTGCACTTCTCTGAGTGTAGGAACTCTTAAATCTGAAGACTGTGAAGATCTTAAATCCATGCATTTGGAGATGTTGCAAGAGATGATGACTGGTATTAAGCATGACGTCCCAAAGCCAGAGCAACTTTCACACATACTCAATGTGAATCTTGTCTTCTTGCATCTGAACTATCATCTAGTGAGAAGATGACTCTCAGACAAATGTGTGAAGAGGAACACCAGATTGTGCCCTATTATTAGCTTATACTTCCTATAGTGCTCTGAACTGAACAGTTCTAAATGTGGCCTATAATAAGCTTGTCAGCCTGAATGTTTGGTTGACTGTAAAACCACTCCATGTATGACTATAGAGCTAATAAAAGGGAATAAAAGGCAGAACATGATTCTACCAATCTACCAAACACTAACCCTATAGAATGGACAAGTCCTTTCAATTTCAATTCATTCACATAGGGAAAACAGACAGTAGTCCCTACCTCACATATTTCACGGAATAATTCCAAGTAACACAATAAAAATATTTAGAAAAGACCTCAAATTTTTGAGATCAAGAGCTCTCTTATATCACACATACTGCTTCCCTCTACTTGCTATCCTCACACCCATATGTTTTTTTTAATCAAACTTTTACCTGGACTCTCAATAGGCAAAGAGTGACAGTGAAGTGTCAAAATCACATTGAGAGCTTTTCCCAATGAAATAAGTGTGCCTCTTCCCCATTCCACTCTCACAATTCCAGTATGTGTCTTCGTACATATTGAGGGACATTCATACACAAAATAAGATTGAATAAATTATAGTGTATAGACAAGATAGTTTGTTATAAACTACATAACAAAGATCTGTTTAAGAATAATCTCAAGTTTAAGAAAAAGAAATTGACAAAACAGTAATAAAAATTTATGTTTCATTTTCTACTTTATACTTTTCTGTCCAAATATCTGACAAGGAATTCCCTGGCAGTACAGTGGTTAGGACTCGGTGCTTTCACTGATGGGTCCCAGGTTCAATCCCTGGTCAGTAAACTAAGATCCCACAAGCTGAGCAGTGCAAAAAAGAGAAAAAGTTGACAATCAGAATTCTTTCCAAGAAAATCACTTACTGTTTTTAGTTCTTGGCGCAACTGCTGGTTGTAATTTGTGGACTCTTCTAGTCGAGCTTCTAAAGCAGCAATTTTTTCTTCTTTTATTTCAAGGGACTTCTTTAGAGTTGATTCTAATTTTGATTCCAAAAGTTTATATCTATTATCCAAGTATAAAAAGAATATAGTTCATTACTGGAGGTCAGAAAATTATTTTAAAGATAATTTATGATTAGATACTGATACATAAATAAGCCTTATAAAATGGTCTTTTTAAAAAAGCAGCAAATTATTCTGTTCTTCCTGCCTACTCTCCCTTTTTAACTATGCCTGGTAATGAGAAAACAACAAAAAAGCCCTGAGTATACAGCTCCAGATTATAGTCTAGGCTGTCAAAAGCAAAAATTAATGCTAAAAAAAGGTATCTGGAAGATCTTAAGTCTCAAAATATTTCTTTTAGTTTCATAAGAACAGAATCTACAGGAAGAGTAAGTGGATGGATTAATCACATTATTAAGCATTTGTCTATGATATTAATATATAATATATTCACACAAGTACATATGAATAGCTAAGACTTAAAGCACCCTGAAGACTACCTTCAGGGCATAGAGAACTTTCAGAATATTAAAAATAAAGAGGGGGGACAACATAGTAAAGAGCCAAGATACTGGTAATAGAACAGGAAGGGGCAGATAGGCTTGAGTGTTAATATTTTAGTTATCTTTCTGATTGATGGGTTCATGAATATTTAAAGATTTTTTTTCTTTATAAAAAGGACATCCATGAACATACTCTGAGAGGGAACCACAGACTAGGAATTACAGATTAATCTATTTCTTACACCTGAGAACCTTGATGACTAAACCAAATAAAAACCTTTAGTATGAATATGAGAAATTCTATCATACTCTGCCTCTTATTGTAATTAATTTGTGTGCATGTATATTCTGCCCAATTAGATTTTAAGTTCATTGACAAAAGAGAAAAAAAATCTCACTTTGATATTGGCTTCAATCAATGAACAATTTTAAAGCATGTAATGTGTATGACTCTGAATGTATTAAATTTGTGATGCCTGAGTTTTGACTGTCCAGGTAGAGATGTTCAGTAAGCAGGGAATAATATGCATGTCAGCTGAGATGATGGATAGAATGGTTGTGGAATGGATAAGAGGCCTAAGAACCTAACTCTAGGAAACTATATTGAAAGAGAAGGCATAGAACAAAGAACTGTTGAAAAGAGAAAGACAAGAGTGATTACATGGCACTGTTTTCAGCTCTACCACTAAATTCACTTTGCTACATTGATATATTCAATTCCACAATTAGACTATGTATTCCACAATGGTAAGAATAAATTCTTGCCAATAAATACAGTCTGCATTAATTTTTCCCACATACATTTATTTATTATAAAATATAAATACTTACTAGAACAGTAATGATGGATAGGCAACAAAATTCAAATTATATAATTACGAAAATTCTAATGAAATAAAATCTAGTGTATAACAATATTCTTAACAATACACACTTCTATTCCAGCTGGAATCATGTGGCCAACTGAATGCTAAACAGCAGACTACTTGAAAATCTAATTAACTGATAGACTGTATTTACCATGGGAGAATAGAAATTCTCTTCAAACCTGTACTGAATATTTTCAAATTAAAGTGTATATAAGTTAATTTTTTATTCTGTTTGTTAAGTCCTAGTTTTCTACATTATTTTTCTGCCTTAATTGCTCCGCAGTCTCAAAATTAATGCTTGAGCAAAATAAATGATTTCCACTGTTTCTCAGATAGACTTAATACTCACCGGTCATCAGTACTTTGCTCATCATGTAACAGTCGCTCTTTATTTAACCCTATCTTCTCAAGCTCATGAGTTAATTTTTCAAGATCATTATTCATTTGTTGAGTCTTCAATTTTTCACTCACCAAATCCTTATTTTAAAAGTAATGCAAAACTCACATAAGTGTTGTGAACATAAACATAAAAGAAATTCAGCCAAGATTTCATCCAGGAATACACATAATTTAAACCAGTAAAGACAGGCTGTTGCTGAACTTTTTATCAATAAAAAAACAGTTAAGCAAAAAAATTATAACCTAGTTCAAAGAGTAATGTTTTCCTTCTTCTATTTTGCTAATACTTTTTAACTTTTTAATGTTAAAAACTAAAAGGAGAAAATCGTACTTGTGATTACACACCTTAGGTTTGAAAAGTGTGGGGGAAACAAAACATATCCATTAACTTTTCATCCTGAACTAGAACTTCAGTGCATATTTCTTTCATGTTGGATACAACACCCTTCTCCCAATACAAGCACCCCTCTCCCAGTGGAAGAGGCCTAAGACATTGATCTGAATAACTAAGGGGAATTCTTAGAGATGCAGGGACCAGGAACCTATTGTCCATGTGTGTAAGATTATAGAACAACAGAAAGGAAAAAGAAAAAGGATAATAGTGATCCCTTTTCAATGTCTCTTTAGCAGAAAGGCAGATTTCCCAGTGCAAGCATCTGCCAGAATGCTGTTTTTTTTTAACTGAACTTAAAAGGTTATCATATATAGTAGAGCATAGGGATAGCAAATAAACACTATTTGCTTTCTTCTGAGCTACACCGACCATCTATTGCCAATCTACTCCTATAAATTTTAGCATTTTTCATGATACACACATCCAACCAACTACCAATTGTTTGGTGTTGACATGATTTGCATTCTCTTGCTTATATTCTCTCAGTCAAAATTCAAGGGACTTTGGAATCTGAAAGATCTAAGATTTGAATCCAGAAATCCAAATCTACCATTTTGTTCTTAAATAAGTTACTTAATGTCTCTGAACCTCAGTTTTCTAATCTAATGGATATAACAGAAATAAAGGATTGGTTGTAAAAATTATCTAGTATTTGGCACATAGCTAGTATTCAGTAACTAGTAGTCATCACATTCAGTAAGTTTTGATCATATATTTTAATATTACTTTGAAACAAAAGTGTAAAATTATAAGAAATAAGTCAGATACTACATGGATAACTTATTACTATAATTTCTTAAAAAATACAATTTGCACTCACTTCTTAGTTTAACAGAAGCTGGAAACTTTTTAATTCTAAATTTCTACTTTGAACCATAAATAGATGATAGAAATTACCATAATAAAGCTTAAAGAAGTTCTAAGTTAAAAAAATTTAAAAATTTGTGTGAAATTTAAGTAAACTATACTTACTTCTCGTAATGTAACCAAAGTTTTTATATCAATAGTTGCTCTTTTCACAAGCTCTTTATTTTCTTTCTCTAATTCTTTCAGACGAATGCAGGATTCTTTATAAATACCAATCTCTTTGAAAAGGGTTTTGTTTTCTTTTTCCAAATTTCCAATTTTAACATTATTTTCTTCTAATGTGGTATCTTTTATTTCTGCTTGTTGCCGGAGTCTCTTATTTTCCTTCTCCAGTTGTTTTTTATCCTTTTCCAGTTGAGAAGTCTCTTGCTCTAATGATTTATTTTCTTTTTCCAGCTGTTCTAGTCTTTTGCTAGATATTTTTAACTCTTCTAGGTTTTTCTGCAATGTTTGATTTTCCATCTCTAAGTCCTGTAGTTCACTTTCCAATTGTTGGATTTTTTTATTGCTGTTTTCAAGAGCTTTCTGTAGCCTTTGATTTTCTGTATCTAAACCCTGATAACTAACTTCTAAGCGTTCTGTTTTCTTGAAAGATGCTTTCATGAGCTCTAAACCTTTCTTAAGTTGTTCTTTTTCACTTTCCAGTTCTTTATTCTCTAGTTGTAGCTGAGCCATCTTCATGCTTGCACACTTCAAAGATTCCACACTCCTTCGAAGTTCTAAGTTTTCCTCATCAAGCTGGGAATTCTCTTTTTCCAGGGATTCTAACTGAAAAGTGAGGTTTTTAAAGCTATCCAATGTTTTTTTAAACTTCCTATTTTCTCTTTCTAGCTCTGAATTTTCTTGTTCTAAGGCCTCAATTTTTTCACAAGTAATTTTTAAATTGGTTATCTTTTTCTGTAACAATTCATTTTCTTTCTCAAGATGATGCAACTCATTTTCAAGTTCTTCTGCTCTTTCTCCTTTTTCTTTATAATGTTCCAATTCTTTTCTGATTTGCCTTTTTTCAAATTCAATCTTGCTTAGCTTGCTACTTGTTTCTTTGATAGATTCATGGAGAATTTTGTTTTCTTTTTCAATGTCTTTCACCCTTGCTTCAGCACTTATCTGGGAGCGCTGCCTTAAGGAGGACACGGTTTGATTCAGATGTTCATTTTCCTGTTCTAATATTTTAATCTAATTTAGTAAAAAAAAAAAAAAGGGAGAAAATTTAAAACTTAATGGAACATGAACTAAAATTCCAGTTTTCCTCCTCCAAAAATTAGCAGGGAAATCAGATCATAAAAAGGTGCTAAAATTGTCTATTTTAATTTTAATTCTGACAAATATTCACAGAAAGATCACCATGTACATGTACTGCCAGATCTTTAAATTTCATATCTTTAGGGACTCCGAAATATACAGGAATGGTTAAGAGAGATGAATATTAACCAAAATGATCTTCAGATTATATACTGGTGATATGTTTCAAATTCAAATATGAGTCTAGATGAAATGTATACACATATCTTCTTGAAGATACGTGCTTTTACATTCATTTAAAAAATTTCACAATGCATATATACAGGAAGACCTCAGTAAATACAGTATTTGCTCTATTACATGCATAGATGTGTGTGTGTGTATGGGTATGTGTGTATTTGTGTGTACTCATTTCCTAAAAGAATTCTAATTTGGAAACATCTAAATAACAATATCCCTGGTACATTTAAAAACAAAAACACCCAATTTATAGTATGGTCTACTATGATGGTAATGGTTCTTAAAATTCAGTGTGTTAAACAATCAATTTCCTGAGAAACTTGTAAAAACAGAGATTCATGCTTAGCTCCAGAATTTTTGTTCCATAGTTCCATGGAAATGCGTATTTTTACAGGTGACCTAAGGACTAACCCTGGTGGTTCAGATGGTAAAGAGTCTCCCCTGTAATGCAGGAGACATGATTCAATCCCTGGGTCAGGAAGATTCCCTGGAGAGGTAAATGGCAATCCACTCCAGTATTCTTGCCTGGAAAATCCCATGGACGGAGGAACCTGGCAGGCTACAGTCTACGGGGTCACAAAGAGTTGGACATGAATGAGCAACTAACACTTTCATTTTGAGGACTATAGCTCGATAATACAAATCATTTTACTTCTAAAAATTAGAAATTTTAAAACAGCCAGTTATTTAATCTATTTGATTCTCCGTTTCTTCAAGCATAACATGTGAATGACCAATAAAACTTGAGAGAGTAAGTATGAAAATATACAGAACAGTTGCTGCTACCACTTCAGTGGGAACAGAGTAGAGCTGCACTTCATCCCAATTTCATTCGGGGCCTTCAGTATCTGCCATCTCATTCCACTGACACTTGAAAAGCAATTCATGCACAGGTACCATGAAATTTTATATCTGATAATTATTAGGGACACTGTCAATTAAAAAAATTCTAAGTTTTCTCTTCAACTTTTCAAAAATGCATGGGATAGAAAATGAGGTAAAACTATAGTTATTTTAAAATCTAAAAATTTCTAAAATATTTCATTTAATGTTATTATGAAGATTTTACTTGCACAAACTTTAAAATAACTTTTGTTAATAAGTTTTAAGATATGTTGCTTAATAAAAAAATTTATGAAACCTGTCTCTCTGAATTTTCTCGAAGTGTTTCAATTGTTTTTTCAAGCTGAGCTTTTTCCTTCATTAGATCCTTGCTTAAATTCTGACAATTCTGAAGACTTTGCTTTTCTTGAATAATCTCATTTTCAAGGATTTCAACCTGGTGAAAATGAAATTACAAAACAATATATCATTAGTATTTCAAAATAGTGGAAGCATGTAAAAACAAAAACTAATCACTGAATAAAGGATAGAAGACAGTTTTAATACTCAAATAGTGCAATTTAAGAATTTCATTGAAAAATTCATTCATAGTATTTCAAGGTACTTTTAGCAGCTATCTAAAATACACAGACATGATTATCTTTCTTGTCCTCTGCATCTTTGAAGGCAAATTTCCACTTCTAAACACAAACACAACTGCATACTACACACATGCCACATGAAGAATACACAAAACTTACTAAAAAAAACTCTCTTGGCTTGAATGGATTTGTAAAATGAAAATTTAATTCGTCACGGAATTTAGGGCACAAGGAGGAAAAGATGAGAAAATGAGGAGACAAGAAGGAACTTGGATTAAAAAGAGAAAAAAAGGAGACTACTAGAGAAAAAAAGATTTGGGCAAAACTCTAGAAAAGTATGAGGTTAACAAGTATAAAAAAGCAAATTCAACTTCAAAACATGCCAAACTAGTGATTTCCCCATTATTATATAACATATTCAAACCAGGTAACCAAAAAAAAAATTTAGGCATATAAAATATTCCACTTCACATTTAAATATTACCTAAATCCTTGCAACAACAGTAAGAAACTCTAAGAAGTAATATTAATAGCTCAAAAGCATAAAGCTGCAAATCTTATTGAATAATTCACATTAAGTTTACACAATCAGGAACCTTTAAGCTATTAATAACTAATCTGGTTCTCACATTAAATACTGAAATATATGGGAAGTATTTATTTAAACTCATTTGCTGTATTAATGGAATTCAAGTGAAACATTCAGTTTACAAAAGATATGCAAAGAATTAATCAAAAATTGCTGGAATCACTAATTTACTAATTAGACTTTAAAGTTAACTTTAAAATCAAAATTCCAGATTTATAGTGGCAACAAAAATAAAACCATTCCAAGTTCTAAATGGCCACTTCTATTTTAACACTATATTTATTGTGAAATGCTTATTTGGTTAACGAATTAATGATGATGCAAATAATGTTTTAAAAGGGAAAAAATCTTTCAAGAATATCAAAGTGTCTATCTGCATCATCTAAGGCACTGGTTCTCATGGCATGGTTCCACAATAGCAGGATGAGTCTCCTCACCTAGGAACTTCTTGGAAGTGAGAATTCTTATCGCACCCCAGCCCTACCACATTAGAAACTCTAGGCATGCGGCTCAGCAATCCATATCTTAACAAGTGCTGAAGGTTACTGTGATGGATACCTACCTATTCAAAGCTATTGGTCTAAAAACTAGGCAGATTTTCATAACCAAACTAGAAACCGAGTATCCAGAAGAAAAACTAGACATAGCTGACACATGTAGAAGAATATTTATTACAGTATATTTTTCAGTGACCAAGAACTGGAAACAAAAGTGAAAGCACATTTTGAAGGGTATACATGATGGAGGGTATTCATGATAAAAATATCATGAACATCTTGATAATACGATTTCTATTTAAGTATACTGTGGTATATGGTTGTGTAGGCACAAAGATATGCACAAATAAATTACTTGGTCTAACTGTCCCACAACAGGAAAACAGAGTATCTCAGAGATATTGCCAGTTTGGATCCAGACCACTGCAATAAAGTATCACAATTAAATGAGTCAAGTGAATATTCTAAAAGCTATGTTTACCCCACACTGTGGACTATTAAGTGTACCATACCATTATGTCTAAAAAAACAATGTACATACCTTCATTAAACAATACTTTACTGCTAAAAATGTTAACCATCATCTGAGCCTTCAGCAAGTTTTAATCGTGCTGGGGAAGTGTCTTGCCTAGATGCTGATGGCTGCTGACTGATCAGGGTAGTGGCTGCTGAAGGTTGGGGTGGCTATGTAATTTCTTAAAATAAAACAATAAAGTCTGCTCTGTCAGTTGACCGTTCCTTTCATGAACAATGTTTCTGTAGCATGCAAAGCTACAAAAACTTTTTTTTCAAAATTGGAGTCACTTCTCTTAAACACAGCCACTGTTTTATCAACTTTATGTAATATTCTAAGTCCTCTGTTGATATTTCAACCAACTTCACAACATCTTCAACAGCAGGCTCTGTCTCAAGAAACTTTCTTTACTCATGCATAAGAAGTAACTCCTAATCCATTATAGCTGTATCATGAGATTGCAACAAATCAATCACATCTTCAGGCTCCAATTCTAATTCTGGTTCTCTTGCTAATTCCTCCACATCTGCAATTACTTCCTCCATTGAAACCTCTAAGTCATCCATGAGGGGTACAATCAACTTCTTCCAAACCCCTGGTTAACGTTATTTTTACCTCTTCCCATGAATTACGAATGTTCTTAATGGCATCTAGACTGGTAAGTTCTTTCCAGAAGGTTTTTAATTGACTTTGCCAGATCCATCAGAGGAATCACTTTTGATGGCAGCTATAGCCTTACAAAATAAAGAGTAAGACTTCAAAGTCAACTTAGTCTTTGATCTATGGGCCGCAGAATGGATACTGTGTTAGTAAGCATGGAAACAACATGAATCTCAATCCTAAGTCTCTAACAAAGCTCTTGGGGATCAGGTGCACTGTCAATGAGCAGTCATATTTTGAAAGAAATTTTTGTTTGAGCAGTAGATCTCAAAAGTGGGCTTAGAACAGTCAGTAAACCACACTGTAAACAGATATGCTGTCATCCAGGCTTTGTTGTTCCATCAAGAAAGTACAGGGAAAATAAGTACAGAGAGAACAGATTATGCAGAATTCTTAAGGGCCCTAGGATTTTTGAAATTGTAAATGAGCACTGACTTCAAGTCACCAGCTTCACTAGCCTCTAATAAGAGAGTCAGCCTGTCCTTGGAAAAAAAAATTATTTATTTGGCTGCGCCAGGTCTTAGTTGTGACATGCTTCATTAGCCTCTAACAAGAGAGTCAGCCTGTCCTTGAAAAAAAAAAAAATTATTCATTTGGCTGCACCAGGTCTTAGTTGTGGCATGCAGGATCTTTAGTTGTGACATGTGGGATCTAGTTCCCTGACCAGGGATCAAGTCTAGGCCCCCTGCATTGGTAGTGTGGAGTCTTAGCCACTGGGACCGCCAGGGAAGAAACCTGTCCTTTGAAGCTTCGATCCTAGGCATTAATTAAACTCTTTCAGCTATTGAAGTCCTAGATGGAATCTTGTTCCAATAGAAGGTTGTTTGTCTACACCAAAAATCTAGTTTAGTGTAGATTAATTATATCTTCTGGAAAACTAAATACAGCTTCTACATTAGTACATGTTGTACTTTTATGTTACGGAAACATCTCTCCTTCAACCTCACAAACCAACCTCTAAAGATTAAGTTTTCTTCTAAGCTTCCTCACCTCTCTCAGCCTTCACAGCTCTGGATTAGGCTTTGGCTTAAAGGAATGTTGTGGCTGGCATGTATTCTATCCAAACCACTAAGACTTTCTCCATGTCAGCAATAATGCTTTCACTTTCTTATCATTCAAAGTTCACTGAAAGTACTTTTAATTCAAGAACTTCCTTGCATGCACATCTTGGGCTAACTTGTAGGAGACCTACCTTTTAGTCTATCTCAGCTTTCAACACTCGTTCCTCACTATTCTGAATCATTTCTAGCTTTTGACTTGACTGTGAGAGAGACAGATGTGCAGCTCTTACTTTCAGTTGAACACATACAGGCCGCTCTAGGGTTATTAGTTGCCTAATTTCAATACTGTAGTGTCTCAGGGGATAGGGAGGTACACGAAGAGGCTGAGAGGTGGGGAAATCACCAGCCAGTGGAGAAGCTGGAACACCACATCACTTGATTAAGTTCACTATCTTATATGGGTGCAGTCTATGCCACCCCAACACAATTACAATACGAACATCAACGATCACTGACAGAGGTCACCATAACAAATACAGTAACAATGAAAGAGTTTGAAACATTGTGAGAATCACCAAAATGTGACACAGAGACACGAAGTAAGCAAATGCTATTAGAAAAATAGTGCTGAGAGACTTGTTTGAAGCAGGGTTGCCTCAAACTTTCAAGTTGAAAGAAAAAACAGTAGCAGCAGCAGCAATCATCTGTGAAGTACAATCAAGCACTATGCAATAAAATAAGGGATGCTTTTTATTTCTTTTCAGAGTCTACTTAAATTCAGGTTTCATAATCCCTAAACTGTGGCCTCGAAATACCACTGTCCACTAAAAGAAAAGAAGGGCTTTTTAGAGAAATGGCTGTGTCCAGGTCTCAAGCAGGAAATGTTTCAGCGGAACCTAGAACACTCTGTCACAGCAGAAAGCAAGGAAGCTCTCCAGGAGTGCTTAGGTCGTCATAAGGATTCAGGTAGCAGCTTAAAAGAGTTGAGAGGGTAAGAAAAACAGTGTACTCAAATACTTCAAGTACTTTAAAATACGTGAGTTTATTATGACACCACAACAAACTCAATAATTATCTCAGGAGGATATGAGAGAACCAATTTATTACTAGGAAACCGGTAAATAAAGGACAAGAATCAAACATTCATCCTACTTTACCCACCCTAAGAGTTGTTCCTCAGAGTAACTAACAGTGGTTTATATCTTAACCCAGTATTTTTTTTTTAAGGTTTTCCTTACAGAAACACTCTAGCTTCCAAATTAAGAACGGATGATATAATATCAGGACTTTGCACCCTCTGATTAATTAAGGGATCTAAACCAATGATTTTCCATGACTACAAATTCACAGAGAGAGACAACCAGACATGTACCACCTATTTTAAGTTTCTTCAACAGAAAAACTACTAGGAAAGAAGAGTAAATCTACAGACTAAAAAAGACTTAAGGGACACATCAACTGATTAAACATACCAATCTTATTTGGATTTATATTAAAAAAATATTTGAATATACTTATATTCAAAAATATGTATTTTTTTAAAAAAATCATAATAGATTTCAGAAACTGAAATGCTGATCAAAAACTATAATTTTTTTAAGTGTGATATCATCACTGTTCTTTTTTTAAATTCCTTACTGTTTAGAGATTTATACTGAGTATTTATTGGTAAAACATTACCATGTCTAGGACTTACTTCAAAATTATCTGGTGGTTGCATGGACAGTATCAAGGACAGAAGTAAGACTGGTTGTAAGTTAATAACTGTTGAAGCTGAATGAGTCCAAGAGTGCATTCACTTCTATTTATATAAGTTTGAAATCTATATAATCAGTAAAAATAATACTGAGGGTACAAAAAAGTTGGAAAATAAATGTTCTATCTAAACACTATATATTTATACTTTTACATGTACCTTCTTTATATTATCTTAAACATTAATTTTTATACCTTCTTACTTAGTCTTTGATTTTCTTTTTCAATTTTCAGGATTTTGGAGGTGGTGCCTTCAGCAGAATCCATTGTACTCCGAAGCTCTTCTACAGTTTTTGTCAAACTCTGATTTTCCATCTCCAACTTCAACAATCTACTTGATGTCAATTCATTCACCTCATGGCCCAAGGATTTCTGTGGTGCTATAATATTGAAAAATATGACACTGGTAAGACTATGCTTACTCTTCACTATTTAAAATATTTAGTGTAAATACACTAAATCATCTGATCCTTAACTTTATAAAAAATTAATGAAGTTATACAAGATAGACACAATAAAAAAAGAGAGATAAAATACAGGCAAATCTTTCAATTCTAATGCATTCACAAGCAGGTATTTTCCTGGTGGCTCAGTGGTAAAGAACCCGCCTGCAATGCAGGAGCCGCAGGAGATGGGGGTTCAATCCCTGGGTCGGGAAGATGCCCTGGAGAAGGAAATGGCAACCCACTCCAGTATTCTTGCCTGGAGAATCCCATGAACAGAGGAGCCTGGCTACAGTCCATAGGGTCGCAAAGACTCAGACACAACTGAAGCGACTTAGCACACACACACATGTACATATCCACAAGCATTCTAGTGGGAAAAAAAGTACAAAATTTAGACTGAAGTAACTAGACTTTTAGTCCTAATTCCATGAGAAAGCAACTTTAACCTCAATGAATCTTAGGTTACGTGGACAAAATATAGCTACTACCCTGTGTATCTAACAGAGTCACTGTGTGACTCAAATAAATAGTATAAAGCATATTCTATGCCATACCTTCAAAGATTAAAAAAGAAAAACAGTCTGAAGGGGGAAAAAATCCTAATCTGATTCTGAGAAAGGCAAGATAGGTCACTTCAAAAAAGTCTTTCTCTAAATGAAGAATCTAGCTAATTAAGTATAAAGAGCAACATGCAGTCCATTTTGCCAATGGAAATCATCTTTCTAAGCAGCTTTTGGAATTATATTTTTTATTTTTTTTGAATTATATTTTTTAAAATAAGAAAACTCAGTTTCAACTCCTAGAAATGTTTTCCAGTAAGCCAAAAATAATTATTTTCTAATAACTGTATAACAGACTCATTAAATATTTTGAAGATATAAAAATATTAGGATTCACAAATGAAATGTGACACTTAGAATTTATTTTGAAATCCTAGATTTCAGGAAAGGAAATGAACAGAAATACAGGAGGGCATTTCTAGGTCTGTCTACTTTGTGTATGTTTGAAATCCTCCATCATAAAAACCAAACACACACACACACACACACACACACACACAAACCACGTATCCCCACAAGTCATACGTTCTTTTTTAAAAATCAGGTAGAGTAAACTATCTCCTAGGTTTTAAGAAAGCCTCAATTCTTATTTCAAGTTTTTGTTCTAGTCAGCACACTGAGTCTTTTATTAAAAGCTGGTATCATAGATAGTCACTGACTTCATAAATTTTATTAGTTGTCCATGTCTTCTTAAGTAAAACTCATTTCAATTAAACAAGATTAGGCTACAAAACATGATATGCCTTAATAAAACTTTCAATACTATGTGCTTCAGAGAAACTTCAAGCCAGCCTACAATGAATTTAATAGAATGCATACCACACATTTTTAACATGGAAGAATGTCTGTGTTATATTTTGGATGAAATAAAGGAACCCTGATTATATATACACAGTGACGATGATATATAAAATAAATGTGTGTGTAGAAAAATTCTAGAAGCAAATTTTGTGAAATGTAAAATGCAAAAAATTATCAGTGACTTTGATTTCCTTCTTTGTATTTTTCACACTCAACAAATTTTCTAGAAAGGTCCTTGTATAGTTAAAAAAAACTAACTATACTAATACTCTGTTCTATGACTCCAGCAAAACAACTGATATAATAATAATAATAAAACACTCAAATGCTATTTACAAGGTGTTCTAAAGAGCCTCATTAACAAAATCAACCCTCACAACAACCCTACCAGATAGTCCTTACTATTACTGTTACTGTCCCCACCTAACAGCTGAGAAAACTCCTAACAGTGTAATTTTAACTACTTCAGTAGTAGAAAACATTTAAATTTGAATTGTTTTCTTTGTAACTCAATTCACATGGAATACAATTAAAAAGTTCCACAAATGTTTTATGTAACACCTCTTGGCAAGTTCATTGGCTGAATATCATCACTTACTATGAAGTCAATTTACATGAGGTCCCAGAACTTGGAATTAGGTTCCCAAGTGTAAAATTAGCAAAAGCCTAATAGTAATAAATATGACAAGTCATCTGCAGAAGTTACCATTTTTTAAGCACCAGGCTGTAAGCTCTTTTAGAGCTTATGTCTACCTTATCACTATACCCTCAGAGCCCGATACAATATTTTACACATGATAGGTGCTTAATAAGTATCTGCTGAAGGAAGAAAACAGGTATAATAATATAAATACTTGGTAACTGAGGAATTAGGGAACCAGTCTAATTCAAATAAATGTAATTGAGGTATAATTTCAATAAAGTATATCAGTATTAGCAAACTCAAAGTTTTAACACAAAAGGCCACATTGCATGTGTGTGTCCAGCTTTAATAAAGAGGACAAGTTAATGTGGAGGCAGAGACATAGAGCCAAAAGTTAAATCTTTATCTGAGGTCTTTTGTTACCTCCCAGGTATAAGTGGACTTGAGCTACATTTTTAGGTATTTTAGGTATAATCCTAAAATGGCGATGACACATATGGATGAAAGTAACCATAAAGATCCTTAAGTTGCTTTATTCTAGCTACATATTCACCAAAGAATATTCCCATTACATTCTGATGTCCTATTTAGGTTTGTCTACAGTCAAAGAACATGTTGACCAGTAAATATGACTTTTCTGTTCTATTTAATAGATGGTTATATCTCTCAAAATACATGAGTAAACTGATACCCCCGCTTCTTGGGATATTAACACGAAATAGTGCCTAAACAATGGGTCGAATATCTTACTGCACTCAAAGTTGAGCTGTAAGACGAAGAGATAAGGATCGAACCCAGGATTGTGGAAATTAATATATTCTTCTGTGAAATCCTATCTAGGGAGATATCTGGCCTTTGAGACATTTCCAGTCAAGGAAAATAAAGAACAGTAAGAAAATATCCAGAAATGTAAGCATAAATACAATGTCATTTATTCATTCAATCATTTAAATAAAACAGTACCAGAAATACCTTCAGAAAGTTCACTAGTTCTGGATATTTGTTCCAGTTCCCAGCCAAGATGTAATGATTCATCCATACTTTGCTTCTGTGCCATTTCCAAAGTCATATTTTCTTCCATTAATTCTTCAATCTTTTTTCTATCCATATCACGTTCCTTTTTTATTAGCAGAGTAGGGAGAGAAAAGAAAGCTAAGAAACAGTACAATTTCAAGCTCATATCATATTACTTTATAACTTTCAATTATCAGAAACTGTATGAGTTAAATTTTGAGTTCCTTAAAATTTTCACAATTTGAAGGTCTTGATAATAATCAATTATAATTATTACTGCTGGTCATTAAACTGATCAGCTGTCTGACCTACTTTTAAAGTGATTTCTGGGGACACTGAAAACACTTCTTCATAGTCATCATATTGTTTTAGTCACATAACACATGACTTCTGATCCAACGCTAAATTTTAGAAATAGTTGTATTCCTACAGTCTAAAGAAATGTTTACACAATAGCTTATTAGGGTTTTCTGAAAAGAAATAGAAAATTAATAAATAACACCCCTTTGTAATAAAGGCAGAAATTTCTACTACTCCTGAACTTACATAAAATCAGGAGCATCTAACTTATTTAGTTCTCACTTTTCTGTTAAGACCTTAAGGAGTCCACAAGTCTGTTCTATACATCTGAGTCTCTTTCTCTGTTTTGCATCTGGGAGAAGGCGAGGGTGGGATGTTTCAAGAGAACAGCATCGAAACATGTATATTATCTAGGGTGAAACAGATCACCAGCCCAGACTGGGCGCATGAGACAAGTGCTCGGGCCTGGTGCACTGGGAAGACCCTGAGGGATCAGGTGGAGAGGGAGGTGGGAGGGGGGAACGGAATGGGGAATACATGTAAATCCATGGCTAATTCATTTCAATGTATGACAAAAACCACTGCAATGATGTAAAGTAATTAGCCTCCAACTAATAAAAATAAATGGAAAAAAAAAAAAAGAAAATTAAAAAAAAAAAGACCTTAAGGACACTAGCCATCCTTATCACTATAGGGAAATCACATGAATCCTAGAATTCCTACTGAGAAGCTACGTAATGGATCTACCGTATACACTTACCATTTCCATATCATGCAGTTTAGCCTTCAGTTGTAAATTCTCTTTTTCTAATTCATGTAATTTATCAGAACGAGCTCGAGTTCCTTCTAATTGGTCTTCCAACATGGTTTTTGTTTCCAATAAGACTTGATTGTCTTCTTTTAATTCCTATAAACATTTCAAGTAAGCTTTATTGGTCACAAATATGTTAATATGATAATTTGTAAAGTTCTGAAACACAAAAATTCTTTGTTGAAAAATAAGACATTAAGCTATCTTTATCAACAGGTCTATGCAAGAGTAAAGGTACTGAGTAACAAATATAGATCAGTTCAGTTCAGTCGCTCAGTTGTGTCCAACTCTTTGCAACTCCATGAACCGCAGCACGCTAGGCCTCCCTGTCCATCACCAACTCCTGGAGTCCACCCAAACCCATGTCCATCAAGTTGGTGATGCCATCCAACCATCTCAACCTCTGTCGTCCCCTTCTCCTCCTGCCCTCAACCTTTCCCAGCATCAGGGTCTTATTTCAAATGAGTCAGCTCTTTGCATTAGGTGGCCAAAGTACTAGAGTTTCAGCTTCAACATCAGTCCTTCCAATGAACATTCAGGACTGATCTCCTTTAGGATGGACTGGCTAGATCTCCTTGCAGTCAAGAGACTCTCAAGAGTCTTCTCCAACATCACAGTTCAAAAGCATCAATTCTTCGGTGCTCAGCTTTCTTTACAGTCCAACTCAGTTGGTTTTATTTCCCAGAATTTAAATTATTATGTAAACAGTGAAGGGATATGGGAGGGAGTTTCAAAAGGGAGGGGATATATGTATACCTATGGCTGATTCATGTTGAGGTTTGACAGAAAACAGCAAAATTCTGTAAAGCAATTATCCTTCAATAAAAAATAAATTAATTTTAAAAATTATGTAAACAAATACTCATTACTTATATTAGGATGAGTAATACTACTATAATTTCACATGAAATTGTCAGGGTATATTTAAATTCCTAAATCACAAGGATAAGGAACTCAGTATAAGTAGGCTTCTATATTTAAGATACATTAAGTGGATGAAACTGGAGCCCATTATACAGAGTGAAGTAAGCCAGAAATATAAAGATCATTACAGCATACTAACACATATATATGGAATTTAGAAAGATGGTAATGATAACCCTATATGCAAAACAGAAAAAGAGACACAGATGTACAGAACAGACTTTTGGACTCTGTGGCAGAAGGCGAGGGTGGGATGTTTCGAGAGAACAGCATGTATATTATCTATAGTGAAACAGATCACCAGCCCAGGTGGGAGGCATGAGACAAGTGCTCGGGCCTGGTGCACTGGGAAGACCCAGAGGAATCGGGTGGAGAGGGAGGTGGGAGGGGGGATCAGGATGGGGAATACATGTAACTCCATGGCTGATTCATGTCAATGTATGACAAAACCCACTGAAATGCTGTAAAGTAATTAGCCTCCAACTAATAAAAATAAATGAAAAAAAAAAGTATAAAAGAATTAACAAGCAGCTTATCCTTGCACTCTATTGGGTCTATTTTCTGGTAACATTCAGGCTAAGTTTTAACCTTCTCTTACAATGTTTTCACTTGATATTGTAAAACTTCTTTCTTATCCCATACTGAAACTGATGAAAATCTCCTCTATTTACAGACAAAGAAGAAATCACTGAGAAACGAAAAAAGAATGCAAGAAGCAAAGATTTTCAAATTCTTGCTATCAAACTCAACTTTATGTAACATAGAATTGTGACCATTAAAAAAGAAAAATTTGTTTTCTTCTAACTTGTTTATATAAAGAGATAAATGGCATTGGGGAGGTGAAGGAAGAGAGAGGAGAAGAGGAAGACAGATACTGATTTTGCTTTCATTGATCCTAATTGAGTATTCTGAGTTGAGCAGTAATCAGAAGTATGCTTTGCATTCACTTCTAGGCATGGGTTTAAAATTAGGAGAGGCATATATACTTTAACTTCAAAGTCTTCCCTACCTATAATTAAACAAAGGAATGAAATAAAACCTCCAACGAATAGCGTCCGAAAATCCCTTTTTACAAGTCTAAACAATATGCTGATCTACCATAAAATAAACACCTGATGGTATTACAGTTTGCGCAATGTTTCAAGAGTTCTTTACATTTATTAAGGTGCATTTTAAATGCATTTTGAAAATATTGTAACACTTTTAAAGAAAAAATTTGTGAATTGTTTAAATTATGCAACATACCTCAACTCTTGCCTTATAAAATTCAATATCATGTAGTCTCTCTTTATATCTGCTGACTTCACTTTCAAGCTTATCAACTCTGACGGCCTTCTCCCGAAGTGCATCTAATTCATCTCGATACATTCTTGCAGAACGAGCATCCGAAAGCAAATTCATGTTCTAAATATAAACACATACTAATATTTAAAATATTACTCTCTATTTTCAAATTGATAATGCTTAGGTTGTGCAATCTGATGAATTTACAAAAAAACCCCAATGACTTCTGTACTTTAAAGTGTGAATTTTTGTGGGACGAGGAAGCTGAGTGATTAAGGTGACAGACTGCTAAAAGTGTGAATTTTCTGTTATAAATATTATACCTTAAGTAATTTTTTTAATAGGGATATATAAAGTCTTTTTTTTTTAAACCAAGAGTAAGAAGTATTTTTAAAATATACACTTCTATACAAATATAAAAACACATGCATACATACAAGTTTTTATGTATAATGTTCACTACTAAGATTGTAAAAAATATTCAGGACATTTTAAAATAAGTAAATCTCTTAACATAACTGTTTGCAATGAATTTAAGGTAAAAAGCTAACTTCAAAATACAAGATAATAAAAATACAGATGAGGCAAACTACTACAAAAGTTGATCATTAGTTACTTTAGAGAAATGTTTCTATCCAGATATGTCACCAAAATCCTGCTGAGTTTTTTAATACTTCCACATGAATGATAACTTGCATGTAATTAGTATACGTCTCTACATCATTTGAAATAAATGTTAAAATTTGAACTTTAAAAAGTCCTCCTGCAATCCTTTGAATAACAGTAATTGAAAGCATGATCCAGAGATACGTGTGGGTCCCTGAAAGTCTTCTGGGGAGTTCATCAGCTCAAAACTATTTTCATAATAATAATAAGACAGTAGTTGCTGTTTTCACTCTCATCCTCTCATGAGAATACAGTGGAACTTTCCAGAGGCTACACAGATGACATGTTATTAACTTAACAGACTGAATGCAGAAACAGAAATGAGAATCTGGTAGTCTTCAATTAAGGCAGGCATTAAATAAAGAGATTTGCAAAAATATAAAAGATTACTATTATTCTAATTTTTTTGTTGTTTTGGAAAATAATGGTTATTTAGTTACCATATAATTTTTATGTTAACATTGAATGGGTTGAGTATTATTTTCAAATGAATTAATAAATATTCTTAAATTACTAGTTTAAATTTCAAATATAGTAAATTCCAGTAAAGGGAATTCACATTAAATAATCCTCATTAATTTTTAAGAGTAAAGAAGGGTCCTGAGACAAAAGAAGATTGAGAATCACTGTTTTAGATGGAACACAAACAACCCTGCTACCGAGCAGCGAAACAGCAGCCACAGCATATCTAAAGCTAAAGGCTATGATCTCTAGATTCATTCACCTAGGAAGGTCCCAGATTTATGATCCCACAAGTGAAGCAACCCTGGAATTTAAAATGGCAGGTTAGGGAAAGTAAGAAGAAAGAAATTTTCCAGCCTTATCCCAATCTTCATCATTTATGGCTTAAAGAAGACCTCTTGCACTACCTTCAAATGAAAACAAAACATTACAGAGTAATTAAAAGAAGCGAATTCTTAAACAGTCTTAGTTCATGATGAAAAAACACAAAGCTTCAGAAAAAATAAAGACATTTTAAAAAGTATAAACTCTGAACCTACATGGTAGAAAAAGTGAAAAATTAAAATGCATTCTATTCTATGGAAGTTAACATAAAGCACAATAAGTGAGCAGAGACCGAGGGAAATATACATAAGCAGCACAGTTTAGCAGTAGAGGTGTTCCAGCTGTCAAGTCCACAGAAGCCAATACATAAAAAAGGGAAACCTGGAACTGTCCTAGTCCTAAGAGGTTCCCTGGAATCTTAGCAAGGTTTGAATAGCACACTGATAGAGAAAAAAGAAAACTCCAAAGTTCTTTCCAGCTTTGATTTCTAGTTTGGCTCTGGCATTTCTGAAGACAGAAACACTGAAAAAGTCATTACATTTCATTAAACCTCAGTAAGCAGTAAAGCAAATGTTGTAAATTATAAGAAAACTCAATTTCCAATTGATCTTATATAATGAAAGTTCCAGGTACAAACCTCTTGCTGCAGCCTTTTTAGCTCTATTTCCATTTGCTCTAGTTCTTGTTTACAGTCCAACAATTGTTCAGTCTTTTCCTCCCTTAAATGGAAAAAAAATTTATTAAATAAAAAACTTTGTGCTTTGAAAACTATGATCATCTGAATATTATCATTATTAAATATCTAATTTAACATAATATTGGTCATGACCTCAAGCTGGGGAAAAAGACAAAGAAATTGGTATTAGGAATTTATATGGTTGGATGTCATCAGACTCACCCTTAAAGTTCTCCAAATGCTAATAACCTCAATGACTAATGTCCTCATAGTTCATAATGTAGTTTCTTTTTCTTCATTTCTTCTGTCATTTCCTGATTCCCATCTCCTTACTCTCTGTCTCTCTGTACAGTCACAGACAAATTAGCTAGAAGAGTTCTTAAGCAAGGCAATACTAGCTGGGTCTGAGACTTTAAGGGTCTCCAAACTATTTTCGGTATTTACAATGACCTAAAGAAAATAATGCAGTGCCACACAGATATGTAAAATCTTTGAATCTCTATTCATTTCTACCCTGAAGTCTGGACACTTCTGTATTTCTCCTAATACACTTTTTTCTTTTTACACTGTGTTCTTTCTAACTCCCATTTTCTATCTCTCCTTTAGAGCCAAGCTCCTCAAATTAAGTCTCCACTCATTGTCTCTACTATCCACCTTCTGTTCTTAAATAATAAAAAATAAATGTTCATTATGTAGAACAATCTGCTTTTGACATCTCATATGTGCTTATATTTAAGTTTTTTCACCAGAGAAAATTTTTATTGAAGTATAGCTGATACACAATGTTATATAAGCTACAGGTTACTGTGATTCACAATTTTTAAAACTTATACTCCATGAAATATTAGCTATATTCCTTGCATTGTACAATATATCCTTGTAGTTTATTTTATACATAAGTTTGTACCTTTAATCCCCTACGTCTATATTGCCCCTCTCCACTCCCTCTTCCCACCAGTAATCACCTGCTTACTGTATCTATAAATCTGTTTTTCTTGTTACATTCACTAGTTTTATTTTTTAGATTCCACATGTAATTGGCATCATACAGCATTTGTCTTTGTCTTTGACTTATTTTACCCAGGGTAACACCCTCCCAGTCCATCGATGTTGTTTTATTTATTTGGCTGCGTCGAGTCTTGGTTGCTGCACGGGGGATCTTCATTCCATCACGCAGGCTCTCCAGTTGTGGCCTGAGGGCTCTGCAGTGCACGGGCTTAGCTGCTCTGTGGCATGTGGGATCTTAGTTCCCCAACCAGGGATCAAACCTGTGTCCTCTAGATTTCAAGGTAGATTCTTAACAACTGGACCACCAGGGAAGTCCCATGTTTTTAAAATAGCAAATTTTATCCTTTTTATGACTGAGTAGCATACCATTCTCTCTCTCTCTCTCTATATATATATATATATATACACACACACATATATATATATTCTCTATACATCTTTTTAATCTAATCATCTGTTGATGGACACTTAGGTTGCTTCCATATCATGGCAAGTATAAATAATGCTACCATAAACACTGCGGTACATGCATCTTTCTGAACACCACATTAACAAACTGATGAATAAAAACCATATGATCATCTCAGTAGGTGCAGAAAAAGCTTTTTACAAAACTCAATACCTGTTTATGATTAAAAAAAAAAACAACTCTGCAGAAAGTGGGCACAGAGAATAATAAACTCTATATATGACAAACCCAGAACTAACATCAGACTCAACAGTGAAAAGCTGAACACATTTCCATTAAGATCAGGAACAAAAAACAATGCCCACTCCTGCCACTTTTATTCAACATAGTCCCAGCCACAGCAATAAGACAAGAAAAAAAAAAGGAATCCAAATTTGAAGGAGGAATAAAAACTGTCACTATCTGCAGATGACATACTACAGATGATGCAACTGAGCAAGACTCTGCCAGGTCCTTCCAGGTACAAATCTTTTTTGTCCCCCATTTCTTGTTTGTAAGAAATAGACTTCATTCAGCATTCTGACTCCCTGAGATTTAAAGGGCAGATTCAAACAGCTGCTACTCACAGAAGGAAGGGAATGCCGAAAACAAAGGAGGAGTAGCTGAGGAACAACAGTCCAGCAATAAAGCAGGGTACTGGTTCTTCCTCAAGGAATATATGTAACAATATCTTTGAGCTTTTCTGCAGGAACTAAGGCCTCCAACTGAGGTGGAGAATGGTGCTCGAAGAATGTGCTCAGCCTGAAGCACAGCTTCAGAGTTGGTTTTTGGACACAAGTCCGCCTTCCCTCTAGGTTGCTGGCCTCCTAAATAAAGCAACCTTTCTTTTCCAAGCAATAGTTCTCTCTAAGTATTGACTTTTGAGCATCAAACCTAAGCTCAGCAACAAAGACAGAAAATCCAAAAGATGCAACCAGAAAACTATTGTTGGAGTTCATCAACAAATTTGGTAAAGCTGAAGGATACTAAATCAACATACAGAAAAATCTGTTGCATTTCTACACACTAACAATGAACTATTAGAAGAGAAATTAAGGGAATAATCCTATTTATCTTCACATTAAAAAGAATAAGATACCAAGGAATAAATCTACCTAAACAGGCAAAGGACCTATACTCAGAAAACTATAATATGCTGATGAAAGAAACTGACAATGACACAAACAGAAGAAAAGATACACCGTGTTCTTGGATTAGAAGAATTCATACTGTTAAAATGGCCATACTATCCAAGGCAATCTACAGATTCAATGCAAACCCTATCAAAATACCAATGGCATTTTTCACAGAACTAGAACAAATAATCTTAAAACTTGTATGGAAACACAAAAGATCCAAACAGCCAAGACATTTGTGAGAAAGAAGAACAGAGATGAAGGAATCATGTGCCTCAATCATATCGTTGAGGTTGTACTACAAAGCTCCAGTCATCAAATACAGTATGGTACTGGCCTAGAAACAGACACATAGATCAGTGGAACACAATAGGAAGCCCAGAAAAAAGCCCATGCACTTAAGCTCAATTAATCTACAACAAAGGAGGCAAGAATATGTCTTTCTTCATTAAGAAAGACAGTCTCTTTAATAAGTGATAATGGAAAAACTGTGGACAGCTACATGTAACAGAATGAAATAAGAACATTCTCTAACAACATATACAAAAATAAACTCAAAATGGATTAAAGACCTAAATTCAAGACTGGAAACCATAAAACTCCCAGAAGAAAATGCAGGCAGATACTTTTTGACATAAATTGCAGCAATATTCTTTTGGGATCAGTCTTCTAAAGAGAAGGAAATAAAAGCAAAAATAAACAAATGGTATCTAATTAAACTTACAAGTGTTTGCACAGCAAAAAGGAAAAGATAACTTACTGAAAGGGAGAAAATAGTTGCAAATGATATGACTGATAAGGAGTTAATATCCAAAATATATAAACAGTTCATATAACTCAATATCAAAAAAACACACAACCCAATTAAAAAATGAGCAGATCTGAGTAGACATTTTTCCCAAAGAGGATATGCAGATGACCAAAAGACACATGAAAAGATGCTCAAAATCACTAATCATCAGGGAAATGAAAGTCAAAAACACATTAATATATCACCTTACAGGAGTCAAAGGACTGTCATCAAAAAGAACACAAATAACAAACACTGGTGAGGACGTGGAGAATAGGGAATCCTTGTACAGTCTTCGTTGGAATGTAAATTGGTATAGCTACTGTGGAAAACAGCATGGCAGTTTTTCAAAAAACTAAAATCAGAACTACCATATGACCTAGCCAATTCCACTCCTGGGTATATATCTGGGAAAAAAAAAAAAAGCAAAACACTAATTTGAAAAGACACATGCACATGCTTACTTCTGTTGTTATTATCTATTTACTCATTTATTTTCGGCTGCGCTGGGTCTCTGCTGCTGCACAGGCTTTTTTCCGCTAGCAGCCACGGGCAGGAGCTCTTCAGCTGCGGGCACTACTCTTCAGTTGAGATGCGCAAGCTCTCGTTGCAGTGGCTTCTCCTGTGAAGCACGGGCTCTAGGGCACTCGGGCTTCAGCAGTGGCAACACATGGGCTTGGGAGTTGCAGCTCCGGGGCTCTAGAGCACAGGCTCTGAGTAGTTGTGGTACATGCGCTTAGTTGCTCCACAGCATGTGGGATGCTCCTGGATCACAGACCAAACCTGTGTCTCCTGCACTGGCATGTGGATTCTTTACCAATGAGCCCCCAGGGAAGCCCTGGCTTATTTTTTTTTTTTTTAGAAACCCATTTTTAATGGAAGAATACTCCCATTGACAGAGGAATCATAATTTACTCATTAAATGGATTCCAATTTTCACTGTAATGAACGATGTTTTGGCAAATAAAATCATTATAAATAAAACCCTGTATATTTTAGGATAGATTTCTAAAAGTATTACATGTTTAAAGGTTCTTGATATTTACTGTCAAATTGTCCTGCAGACAGGTCACTATCAATTCATAATGCAACTAGCAGAGGATAAAAGTGACTGTATGTGAAACAATATAACAACTGAAAAATGCCATTATTGTTCTAATTTAAATTTATTTGAATATTATGAAAGGCTAGTTTTCTTATTGTGCCATTAAAATTTCTTCTGATGAAAAGTTACTACAATTTTGTAATATATAAGATATTTCTTACAGATACTTTTTTTTTCCATTTATTTTTATTAGTTGGAGGCTAATTACTTTACAACATTGCAGTGGTTTTTGTCATACATTGAAATGAATTAGCCATGGATTTACATGTATTCCCCATCCCGGTCCCCCCTCCCACCTCCCTCTCCACCCGATCCCTCTGGGTCTTCCCAGTGCACCAGGCCCGAGCACTTGTCTCATGCATCCAACCTGGGCTGGTGATCTGTTTCACCCTAGATAATATACATGTTTCGATGCTGTTCTCTTGGAACATCCCACCCTCGCCTTCTCCCCCAGAGTCCACAAGTCTGTTCTATACATCTGAGTCTCTTTTTCTGTTTTGCATATAGGGTTATCGTTACCATCTTTCTAAATTCCATATATATGTGTTAGTATACTCTTACAGATACTTCTTTGCAAAAAGTTAAATGCCTTTTTTTGAGGGTGGGGGACTGCACCTCATGGCCTGTGGG